AGGCTCTGCATAACACCAATCATACACAGCGCTTCCAATCCAAAATTCTCAGAGCTATAACTAAAGCACCCTTTTATGTTTCCAACCTGTCCTAATATAATAATTTTGCAATCTCTATTAGCCACATTATAGCAACACTTATTACAGACAATCCAACTTAAATATTCAAAAAAAATACAAAGGATTTGTGTTAATAAATATACCTGAAAATTCCAATAAAAGATTAAACATGCCATAGTGTTGGGACCTACTAATCTAAAACACAAAAAGTTACTAATAATATTGTGAATGTGTAAAAATAGCTGTCAAAAAGTGACCTCACTTCACAAATTCATCATTCAAGCCATACAATCGATTGTCCAGTTCACTTATTGTTCTATATGCAATAGATTGATTATTATATTATAAAAATAAAAAATAAAAAGATCCTGTATAATATGTTAAATAATTTGGCGTCATCATATGATGATAGTTAATATTAACTTAAAAATGTAAAATTATAAGGAATGAAAATTATAAATTATGAAAAATGTCCTTAATTTGTACCCAGCAACTAGATTCTATTACTCTATTCCAAAAAAATTGATCTACTTGACCAGCAAAAAAACGGGTCGGCAGTGCACAGCCCTTCCCATAATGGTGGCAGCCTTTAAAAACAAGGAGTAACGTAGGTTGCTGACCACCGACAACCAATCACAGAGACACCTTGCATTACTTGAGGGATCCAACTGTTCTGATGGCTCAGTATGCATGTGTGGAACTGGATCAACTTATTTGGAATAGAATAAAGCTAAAAAGTTTTACAGTAAGTATCTAAGTAATATCAACAAGGACATAGGTATAAATTTCTGATGGGAAAGGTTTAAGGTAGGAACTATGGAAGTATAGAAAGAGATTTGAAAATAAATTAGGTACCCAATATAATTAAGTACTTAATAGAAGAAAGGGGTGAATGTATGGTACATTCAAGGTACCTAGCCCTTGAATATCACATTTTTCAAAACCTGAAGTTGTCTTGTACGCCTAAAAATAATTTTAAAAATATTGTTGAGTAAATGATTATTTACTTACAGCTCAGTACAATAACTTGATGGTTCAAGAGGTATATAAATTGTAGAACCGAGTTCTGGAAATGGCTGGTCATATAATAATTTTATAAACATTTTCATATTGAATTCAGATAAACCATGTCTTGATTCAATTTCTTGCAATACCTGTAAAATTAATTTAAATTATTTATCTTGTATAAGTTGAATAATCTAATTAAAAATTAATAATATAAATATTATTTGCCTTAAAGTAAAAACTGTTAGCTTTAATTGAAGAATATATACAATACACCAATGGTAAACAATAGGCAGCACCTTCAGGCTGTACCCTATAACAGTAACCATAGTTACGTCGACCATTTTCATCAGTAACAGTTAATGAATATGTTCTACAATCATCTGCAGTAAATGGCCAAACATGTGCATCCGGAAAACATAAATTCTCAAATTGTTCTGGTATTTCAGCCTGAGGTAATAAAATGATTATTAATGATCTTACATTTGTTAAAAAAATACATAAAAAATTATGGTCTATTTAACCATATTAATTACTTGTGCGGGATATTTATGTTTTATATAAGGTAATTTTTCTTTGGTTGAACTTAAATCTAATCCAATTAATAGAAGTGCCTGGAATAGATGATTTTTATCATGAACAATAGTTGAACATGTTGATGTTGTAATTTTTTTAGCCACTCTTCGTAAATACCCTTTACGCTCTAAAGTTTGTTCACTAATATTTTTATCTAAAAAAAAAATACAGAAATTATGTTGGTAGTTAAGAGTTATATAATATTTTTAATTGACTGTGAATTAGTCAATAAAAAAACCTAAGCAATGGACATTAAAAATTTAATGAGTTACAAAATAAGTTTTCATTTCTCTGACATACCTACTTTTTTTTAAAGAAATATTAAAGAGTTTAAGTACTAAGGATATTCTGAATGACTAATAAATACAATTTTTATTTGTTTATAATATATATGTTTATGTCAATAAGTAAAAAGTTAAAAAAAAAACAGAAGTGGTAAATAAATCTATACAGTTTTGAATTAGAAAACTTGATTCTGGTTTTACAATCTATACTATATGATAAAATTAATGTTATATATTTAAACTAATTGTTTAATTGTTAATATTATATGTTGTCAAAGCATTGTTAAAAACCTTGCATTTTAAGCTGATCTAATAGTTATTAACTTTTAACAAATTAATAGTTTATTTTTGACTAAAAAACCAAGTGTCTTATTTATATTAGAATATAGAATAACACTATTAAATATTCAAATTATTTTTTTAAAATAATTTAAGTATAAAATAAAATATTTGAATTTAATCACAGTGCAGTATGTATTCACAATTTTAATAAATAATGATCCAATTCCATTTCGAAAATACTTCAAAAACCAATTTTTAATAAAACGAGTAGATATTGTAATAGTAGCAATTCTTATTTTTAACTGAATATAATTTGAATGTAAGATTGTTAGGAATCTTTCTGTACATTCGGATTATAGTTACAAAATTAAGACAAAAACTCTGGATGATATTGGACTAGTTCATATAAAAACTTCTTATTATGTTGTATAAGGTGAATAATTATAAATTATAATTGCATTAATAATACAAAGTTAAATACAGTTTTGTAGGACATTAATGTAATTTAACAGTCATTTCATCAGTTTATTATGTGACCAATAATAGGTGCTCTATAAAAATATAATTTAGTAAATAGATACCTACATTAAACAATAAATATTATGAATACACATTTTTAATAGATGGTAATTATATTCATTATTGTTAACTCATAATATTTTTCTTACAAAATAACTCTATAGAAAAAATGTTACACCTATAAAGGAAGAAAAATAATTATTAAGTTGTTTATGTACCCGTAAGGTTATTTATTGATCCACTAGAACTGTCTTCACAGTTCGAAATTGATTCAGAATCACTTTCCTCTTGAGTTTTAACAAATGTACCATAAGCTTCATTCATTAACATTTGAATCTTAAAAATGTATAAAGTATTGAAAGTTAATTTAAATATAAATGTACTTATTAATAGGTAAAAATTATATAAATTTTAATTTAAAAAAAATAATAATACTTTTCTCTCATGACTCATTGTCATATTTTTGTTTTTTTTTGAATTCAAGTCATCTGTAGAATCAATTTGAAAACATGATTCAGATTTTCTCAAATTAATTTCAGAATTATAATCTTTAATTGGTGTGGACTACAGATTAACATAAAAAGATAGATTTAATATTATTTATGGGTATGATAAATGTTCTAGTACAAGATATAGACAATTATTATTTTAATTATTAATCAGAACTTACCATATAATGTAGATTAGATTTATTGGAATCACAAACCCGATCATTACCAATTATATGCGTATGACAATTATTAGCACTATCGATGTTTAGCCTTGAGTTAGGTTTAAAGAATATTGGTTCATCATATATATGTTCTGTATCACTTTCATCATATAATTTCCGAATTAAATAATTCTGTTCATCTGTATGATGTATTTTTAATGAGTTACCGTACGCTTTATCACTTTCCGAACACTTCAAAGACTCAGCCAAATTGAATAAGTTAGATTTTTTAGAACTGATATTTGAATTGCAATCTTGTCCAGTAGTCTTTTCATCTTTTGGTCCATATGTATGAGAATTTTTAGCTATAAACTTTTCTAGTTTATCCAACATAGCTTTTGGATCAGACTTGGGATTTTTATGAGATTCCATCGTACAATTATAAGGAAGATCTGGATCTATTTGTTTATCATGAGCAAATGTTCTTGGTGGCTTTTTAGGAGGTGGACCAATTGGTAAACGTGCTTTTAGTGGGAGTTCAATGTTTTTTTTTGGTACTTTCGGTTTACAACCTACAGTAATGCTGTTATTTTCTATTTTTTTTTTCAAACAGTTTATGACTGATTTTTGGTCAGTTACGAGTTTATTTTTATCATCTTTTGCAAACGTATCTAGATATAATTTTTGATTTAAACTGTCAGTCTTATTATTACTATGAGAATCAGTTGGTGTGGTTTTATTACAATCGCTAGTGTTTGGAATAATAATATTAGTAAATTGTTTCACATTGTTAGTTACCACCACGGCTTGTGAATGATCCACTACTAGCTTTCTCGTAATGTTCACATCTCGTCTAAAGGCGGGAGTTCTTTTAATATTTCTTTTGTTCACATTATTCTGGTGTGGTCTCTTGTCATCCAATCCTAGTTTCTTGGAGCTTTGAAAAGATTCGAATCGTTTCGTCAATACGTCTACATTAACTACGTTCGTTTCATTCATAATTTTGATATCATTGGTGAAAATGTCACATTTTATGACTAACAACAAAGTTATGGAAAAAAAAAATGAAAAAATACTTCTCAGAATGATTTATTTTTAAAGATAATTATTAATAATAGCAATCATCGACCACGTACTCCGAACAAACTGCTTAGTGCACACGAGTAAACTGAAGTTACTGAACTCTGACAACTCTCAATGCTGAGTGCAACGCCTAATCTATGTCATTTATTATGAATTGCGAAACGCGCAGCTAAATTATTAAACACTGTATGATAATAATTAATAACAATTAACAATTATCAACGCGACATCATTAGACACAAAAAAAAATTAATAAGTCTTTATGATATTCAATATTTATTTATACACTATCAAACTTCGGTATATTATTATATTATTCGGTGGTCAGCCGCGATCGCATGCACGCATTGTACTATTGTTGTTACCATTCATAATGTATGGTTATTACCATTTTATCCGAATACAACCATAGAACAAAAGCCATAAAACTGATAAATGAAAAGAGATGACTGCATCGGCTGCAGTGCTCAAGCTGCAGCAGCTGTTGGTCATATTATGCTAATTTTATTCAATGATAAGATATAACAAAATATTTCAATTTCCTATCATGAGTTGGTACACGTAGTCTGTAGTAGTTGAGTAGTCCGTGATTTTTATTATGTGATCATATTCATAGATATAAACTATGTTCATATTACGATGTTACATAATATCATAGAACAATGTTATTTTATTTTCACAGATGATATATATATCATACAGATCGACGTGATGAATGATAGCTGTTCTCTGTTCTCTGTGGATATTAAATTGACCACCTGTTCTTACTTTCTTAGTTCTTTTTCATATTTTATTATTATCTATATATTGTTGTTATGATTTTCCAAACGATTACTCTTATGCCTTAATAGCCTTATGTTAACTACTGAGACTTTTGTGACTATTATTTTTATAGTTAACAATTCAAAATTGATCAAGATATCCGAAGATTATTACAATTTTAAAATTCACTTGTAATTGTTTACCCTATTCACAAATACCAACAGTTTAATAAAAAAAAAATAATGTTATTATCTAATGGCTTGATAGTAAACTATAGAAATTAATTTTTTTGAAATTTTAAATTAGTGAGCGATTCCAATAGCAAAAGAAGACATGATGCCTAGAGGAAAAAATGGTTATTCCTGGGAATTGAACTCAGGAACTCAAGACAGTGAGGTAAGACTAAATTTATAAACACATAGCTTATTTTAGAGGTCGATAAATACCTATGGACAAAATACGACTTATTAAAATTCCCTTAACTTAATGAAATAATGAAGTTAAAATTAAATAAATAATTATCTTTAAATGTACATAATTTTATTTGTCAACATAAATGTATTTATTTGCTCAACAATATTATTCCTTCAAAAATTTTCACGTCATGTAATTAATCACCTTACTAGTATAGTTATATGTCTGTATGGTGTATAACTTAAAGGAAGTTAATTCAAATTATTTATGAAAATATAAGTCATTTACTTATGTTATACAATTAAAATAGATATATATCAAAGTTCAAATAAGGCATTATATTAAATATTTTTTTAGTAAATATGTGAAGTCATTATTTAGTGTTATATTTATATTACTACTTTTGGCTATATTATTTGGAACTATTTTTTCGTTTTTATTAGCCTTTACTAGAAAGGGATACTGAAGATCCAGATGATGTGTTATTTACATCCCGCCCAGGCACTTCAACTTTTGTGGCAGATATGCTTAGTTCACACTCTCATAAGATGAATAATCAACACAATCAACTTGACCTCATATCCAATTCAGTAAAAACTTTGAAAAATGTTTCAGAAGATATAAGTGTTGAATTAGATCATCAAAATGTGTAAGTTGATTATTTTTTTTTATTTTACAATATGGGACGAACCCTTTAATACATGAATATAATAGTATAATAATAATAGTTTTAATAGTTTATGGAAACGTGGCTCAATATCAGAGAGAGAATGAAGGGTCAGTGTTAGCAATGCGCATAAGACGGATGATCGGTGAGTTAAGATAGTAGTTTGAGGAAGAGAAAGGTATATGAAATGGAACAGATGATCGTGTACAGCGAGAGGGGACATTAAATAAGACAAGGGATAGTAATTCAGGACTATCAATTTTAGATGAAAGAAGATTGGATAGAAATGTCAGGTTAGCTGAATGACGACGATCGGTGAGGCTTTCTAAGGAAAAGAGGCGTTGGATTGGCGTGTAATCGTGAGGTGGACAGACTATCTTTAGTTTGTAAGCAGCTTGACGGAGGAATTTTCTTTGAACCCTTTCTATCATGATACGTGCGGAAGCGGTGGACGGGTCCCAGAGGACGGAACCATACTCAAGAATGGGACGGACTAGGGAGCAGAAAAGAGTTTTTAGAGGGGAGAGCAATTATAAATTATAAATTTCTCTAATAAACTAAATTTCAATTTAAACGTATTACCCTTTCATTATTGACTATAAACTATTGTTATAATATTGAATTACCTTTTCATGTTAACATATTGATAGAAAAAAACTTTTTTGATTAGTTATATTGTTTATTACCTGCATTATAAATGTATATTTAATTTTTCTTAGAATGCTTGAAAATTTAAGCACTGAATTAGACAAAACAGAATCAAGATTAGACATGGTATCAAAAAAGGTGGCACAAGTTCTTCAATTGTCTGATGGTAATATTTTAGTAACATCAAATTATACTATTTCAACAAGATTTTCTTTGGTAATTACTTTAAAATTTAAAAATTTCAAGCAAGAAAAACAGGGTTCATGGCTCAGTATCGGTGTATTACACTCTCTGTAAGATTGGTAACATTGACTAATTCAATTAGTTTTAATTTATTGAATTGGAAAATTATTAAGGGGATTGGATATTATGATTTTCTGTCTTTGTTGAACATACCTAGGATTTTAGACGTGTTCTAAGTTCTTTGCTAAATGTACCAATTGATCTAATGAAGTGATAAGTATTCTTACAACAGATTTGAATTTGACTACTTGAGATCGAATTTCTCACACTTCTTCAAACTCAAAAGATAACAAATTCAGGAAAATTCATCTCAAGTAGACTTGATGATAAATTCAAATGTTTTCAGAATTCTTATCGCTTCACTATTTCAATCGGTACCCTAGGTAAAGCCCACATCCAAAAACCTATGTCACTCATGTGTTCGATAAAGACAGAAAATCACGGTATCTAATCCCCTTAAGACAAAATATGAACATGTATAAAAGATACATATTATAGTATTTTTATTACTTAAAACAATTACGATATTACATATTTGATATTATTTTTATGTCCATGAGATGTAAGCTATAATTTTGGTACTTTTGGTACTGGTTTTTAGTGCCTATGCTGTTTATTTCATATCTCTAAGGCCATAAAATTCAAATTATTCATTATTCTGTGTTTTTAAAGTATGCCTAAATAAAAAGCAGGGAAGTGGATGTTGCTTTGCTGGACAGTAGGACTTGTCACTTTAATGGATGGTGTTAAGTTTGAATTCAATGATATAAAATCTAGAAATCATTGTATATGAAAAACAATTCTAAGCTAAGACGGTCTGTCAGTCTATAATATTACTAGTAATTAAGTATATTTGATGATATTATTGTGATTAAAAAATTTATTTTACTTGTAAGCACTAGTACTCAGTTTAATTTTTGCCAAAAAATACATTTGAAAAGTCATTGTGTGTATAAAATTTAATAATATACTTTAAAAGGTTCAAGTACCCACAAATAGTATTTTAACTTTACAACAAAAAAACATAAATCAATTTTATTAAATTTTCTATTTGTTTTTCCTGTTGCTTTAGAAAACTATTGCGAATTTTAAATGTTGACATCCCGAAAGCACCAACTAGATTCAATTTCCAACCAATAAAGTTACTGTTGAAGAAAATCTAAGCACTTTTACTTTCCCAAACCGTGGTTGCAGACACAAATAAAAAAATTCATTGTAAAATCAATACATTCATCAGAATGCTCAGAATCTAAAATATTAAATTTTGATAATTTTACCAATTACCATTATACTAACTTTTTATGCAATATATTAGTATAGGTCAGCTAATATAAAGTATAATGAAAATAACTGACAAATTGAATTACCTAACTAACTCATAAAAACTTGTTCTTAATGTATTATATTTATTATTTTTTAATAAACAGTAATAATAACTAAACTAAAATAATTATTAGAATAAATGTTACTTCATTTTTAGACAATTACATCAGTCCGTTCTTTCTGATGTACTCAGTATAATATTAACAATATAATTTATATTTCAGATAGAAGACAATGGATGGCAATTGGAATTTTAGTTGGTATTATTTTTATAACCATAATTCTTCTAATAATTTTGTAAATGATGTTCAAACATTATACTTGGTAAAAAAGACTGATTTTATTTATTTTATATTTATCAATATATATTATTATTTACTTTTCTCATAAAATATATTGACATATTTTAACAAATGTAACACATGTGCCCCTAAATTTTAGTATTTAAATATCTAGTCTAAATTCTATTATCACTTAATTTATTGTTATTTTGAATATATTTTATTTTACTATTTTATCTTTAAAATTAAATGTTATCAATGATGAATTAATAAATGTTTGTTCTTGATTATTCAATAATTTGTTTCATTTTTCTATGAAATATGTTCTTTGTTATATCTATATAAAGTATTTTGATTTGATTAACTTTAACCTTAGTGTTTATTTAATTATACTCTTAATCGTATAAAAATACTTCAACAAAACTATTTCTCATTTGCACCTTTCACCTTCCCTATTTTCTTCTATTGTACTCATTCATCCACACTGAATTAAATGTGAAATGTATTCTTGATACATAATTAATACCAGCGAACCATCTTCGATGAGTATTTTTTTCCTTATGGTCTTAACTCAGTCACTCATACAACACATTCTCTTTATACTAATATTTTCCACCGATAAAACTATGGAAATTTCAAATAATTAAAATGTATTACTTTTGTTTTGTTATTATTTAATTTAAATCATACATTCACTTATCAACTAATATTGTGTTATTCAATATAAATTAATAAATATACCACGATAATAAAAATTAAAAGTACCTACTTAATGTATGAGTTAAATAAATTTTGATGGATTAATCTAAAATTATAATGTTGCTATTTATACGCTTAAATCAAAATACAGTAAACATAAAAGATAACTTAGATAAAAAAAAATCTATAATTAGTCAATTTATAATACATTATTATCATTGATCACCGCAATAGTTATAATTGAAATTACATGAATACGGATCAGCATATTGAGTTAAATTATGTTCTCTGTAATACACAATGTATTGTGGATAAAATTCATAATCATTAAATTTTACATAAACCATACCATTCAATGATTTAGCAGTATCATAAACATTAGGTATAACATTCAAACTATAACTGACGTTAACATCTTTGATTCTTTGAACTAAGACTCGACAAATTATAAATGCTCGCTCAATTGAAATTTCTAAAAAAAGATTATTTTAAATTAGCATAAAAACAAGAAAAATTGGAATATTTAAATAATAGATTGAAGGATTATACTAATTAATAATAATTATATACAATATTTTTAATCACTTCAAAAAATAACATTAAAATATTTTACCCACCACTATTAAAATCATGTCTGGATGGAACAAAAGGTTCAGCAAAATTATTATCTGTAATATGGTCCATAAGCCATTTAGTAGCACATTCTAATCCTTGATTGTAAGTATAAAATAATGCTCGTTTGATTGCCTCTCTTGGAAAACCCATATTAATAAGTATTTGCATTAGATTTTCATCATAATCTACTGCAGAAGTTGATCCTGATTTAATATTCAATATATTTTAATAAAAATAGAAAATTTAATTTAATTGCATTAAATAAATGTGTCAATTATATACCCCGAGCACATGATGCATATTTGTTGGCATACAAAGGGCAGTATGAAAAGCAAACACCTTTTCCATATCGACAACGACTTGTGAAACGCCAGTCTAAATTATTCTCAGCAATTGATTGAACATTTTTAGTGGCAGTAACATGATATAAAAGCCATTCATTTACCTCCATACTTTTAGTATTTATTTCCATTTCATTTTTTCTTAATGTGTATAACCCCCAAAGCAGTGGATTTTGTACTTTATGGACACTTATAACCTGAAATTAATTCAAATTTAAATTCATAAAAAAACATCATTAATATAGAATACATTTCATTAAAACTTACATCAAAAAGATCATACAAATGTCTAATTTCTTCGACTTCATACAATTCTGAATCGACTACTGGTTCAATAGAATAATCGTTCATAATTCAGCTATAATTAATATTGCTTATACAAAAACTGTTCAAGTATTGTAACAGTATTAATTTAATGAATGTATGTATAAAATAATCAAATATTAAATCAATTTGTGTTGTTCTATAACCTTGTTGGGTATTCTAATTACTGTCAATGACCTAAATTGAGGAAAGATTCTGTTGCATTAAGCTACAACCATAGATTATTATACTGTTTGTCTTATATAACTATGGTTACAACTAAAGAGTACATGAAAATGTTGAGTGATTAACATTATATTAACCTAAAGAAACTCCATAAGACATTTTATTAAAAAACTACACCAGAAAAATGTGTATTTTTAACATCTATTCGGTTATGTTTTGGTAAGGCTCGATTGAATAGATGCATGATTTTACACTTTGTTGGATACTACCTATCAATTATCATATAGGTGACTTGAAATAAAGAACAAGATTAAGTATAAATAATAGGTAAAACTGAAATGTTATACTATTATAAAATAAAAATAATATATAAATAATAGCTCCCCGAATTTTTTTGGAGTAGGATAAAATCTCATGAGCAATTCTTTTATCACAAACCACTTATTTCAAAAACTATTGACTGTTTTGAAAATATTGTTTTTGCATGTCTTAAAAAAATTATTTTTTTTAAATATACCTATATCCGAGAAGATCAGTTAATATCAAAAGTAAACAACACAAAATAAATTTAATTTACAATTTACATACCAATAGAATATAATACTAAATATCTTGATTTGCAGAACAATCAGACCAGTCGGCAGAACTAAATTTTTGTATACAAGAATAATATATCCGTCGTACGTCGCAACTATTAACTACTTTGAAGTTTGATGAAATTTTGACGTGGCATGGAAAGTGTAAATTAATTGTAAATAATACAATGCGTAGCGAGCAGTAATACCACAGAACAATATCGGCCAAGACAATAATATTAATGTCTGATGTTGAAGCGTGAAACACGTTTATGCCAAAAGCTTATGTCGATAAAACAAAAAAAATGGTTTATGTTTATATTGTTATAACAGGTCTAACGAAGGCGTGATAACGATGGGAATTCCTAAAATGAAAGTTTATTTTTATATTTTATTTAAAATTATCTTGAAAAGCATAAAATCGATAACTTTCAACATTAATAACATTCAAAATAACTGAAGAATTATTGTTCTAGCAAACAATCGTGTATACATACGTTACATAATTGCATAATAATATTAATATTTATTATTTATGATGACATTTTTAGATTGTGAGTGGAGCGAATGAGCGATGAATGTATTGATTTTACATTGAAGTGTGTTTTTTTTTGTGTCCGTCATCACGATTTCTTGCGGTAAAAGTGCTTCAATTTTCATCGACAGCAACTTTGCTGGTAGTAAAGTCGAAAGTGAATCTTGTTGGTGCATTAGGGAGATCGAAATTTAAAATACCAAGATGTTTTCGAAAGCAACAGTAAAAACAAACGAAAAATTAAGGAAAAACTGAAATTTTTAAGCAAAACCAGATTTAGAAAAAAACATTTTGGTTTTTAATGTAACTCTTACAAAATTGACCGTAGATACATGACATTTTCATTGAATATTTGTGTAAGCATTTTCTACACACTAAAAAATTTTCAAAATATTTTGAAATTTGTTGAACTATTTACATGAAATGTACAATTATTATTTGTTTTTTTTAAACTTATGTCGATAAAAATTTTTTCGCTCTGTCAAAAAACTTGTAAATGTAATACAAGGTTCCTCGTAAGTTTTTATTAAAAAAGTTGGGTGAAAATCCACAATAATTTTTAATGAGCGTTTGAACTTAGAATTTTGACAAAATTCGTTAAAATTACGAAAATTAGTTTACCTTTATCTACCTTTATCAAAAAAATAATTTTTGTCAAATTAACTTTTTATGAGCGTTGAAGTTGAAATTTTTACAACATTGGATATATTCACTCGATTTCTCTTGTAGCGATTTTCTTATTTTGTTGTGATTCAAAAACGAATTACAGCAAAATACACTTGATATTTACAGCGGATGTTTATTTCATCAATTCTATCAAACATTTTATCGGTTGGGTTAAAAAGCATGAAAATTTAATACGAGACTCTAGATAAATTTTTACAATAGCAGTTGAAATGTATTAAAAGTACACATGTACAATTTTTTTTTATAAGGATCTAAAGTTTAAAAATTGAAAAAATATATAACATTTAAAACGATTTTGTAGTTAAAAATGTATACAATTTTCAATTTGTTTAGCTATTAGAATTGAAAATTTATAACAAGGTTTTACTTAAGCAGTTATTTCAGTAACTCAGAAATCTAAGAAATATATGATATATGAATACAGTTATTTTGTACAGACATTCTAAATTCAAATTTGGACAAAATTGTATATGAACACAAAGAATAACGTATAATAACGTTTATCATTTTGTTGTCATTCGGTTCCAAAAAAGCCCAATTTTACGTATGTATATTTAATATTTTTCAGCATCACTGATAATTTATTTAGGAATAATATTAATTCAATTTACCGACTACCATATTAATAATAAGTACCTATAATAACAATATAAAATATTCTTGACTATAAGCGTGTCCCAGACCTCATTCGCAGTTCATGCACAATAGTGGCATTTCCAGAGGAGGGGAATTTTGGGTAGTTACCTACTATGGTATGATACCTATTAATTACCTATAATAGATACATTAAATAAAAATAAATTGTGAAATTACAAGCTTAGGTATTTTCAATAAATTGATGTTGTCGTTTGCACATCGCTATTGTTAATTTTCAGATTTTTTTAAGACAGTTGTACATCGTTTGATTTTTCGGTTATACGTCGTCTGCGCATCAACCGTTTAAGAGGTCGTACATCATTTGCACATCAATGGTATTTAACAATAGAACTGAAAAAATATGTATACTCAAAAGGCAAAAGCAAGTTGTTTTCTAGCTAATTTTAATCTTAAAATATATACATCATCGTCATCATCTCTAAATTAAAAATTTTAATATTGTTATGTTTTTCTGTTATTATGTATTTATTTGTATCGTAGTAATATCGTGTACGTCAAAAACTTGACTACATTCAAAAACATTTGCTTAAGTATACCACCTTTGATATAAACAGGTTTCATTTTGTAAAAATATTGGGACATAACAAAACACCAAGTAAGTACTGATTTATTATATTATTTTTAGTGCTAAATTAATTTGTGTACAATTTATTTTTTTACTATTTTTTTTTCGATAACTATAATATACTTGTATTTGTATTTTTTTTTTCGAGTAACAATGTAAATGTATGTATTTTATTATTTTTTAACTTAAAAATTTTAGCTTATTCACTATCCATAAATATTATAGTATTATACATTATACTAGCTGATCCCGGGCACTTTATTGTCCGTTGAAAATGCCATTTCTATATGATGAGACTCTATGGTGTTGGTCATGTATCTACGGTCATTTTTTTAAGAGTTACACTAAAAACAAAAATGATTTTTTTTGAAATCTGATTTTGCTTAAAAATTCCCGTTTTCCCTTAATTTTTCGTTTGTTTTCCCCGTTTCTTTCGAAAACTAGGTATTGGGAATTTTAAATGTTGACCTCATGAATGCACCAACTAGATTCACTTTCGACTTTCCTACCAGAAAAGTTGCTGTCGATGAAAATTGAAACACTTTTACCGCAAGAAAAAGTGATGACAGGCACAAAAAAAAACAAATCTTAAAACACGCACATCATTATAAATTCATTACATTCATCGCTCCGCTCGGAATCTAAAAATTTGTCTTAACTCTTAATGAAACTTTTATTTATTGAATAACTACCAAAATATAATGAATCACAAACAGAAAAAGTTGCCGATTATTTTAAAACACACCAAATGTGAAATGTGAATATTATTTATCTCGTGTAGGTATCTGTGGGCTGTAGCTGTAATGGCTGTATGCAAACTGTGGCAAAAAAAATTTAACCTTATACAAACTGTGGCAATTTATTGTATATATACCTACCATATAATATCATATATAATTATGTACCTATATACCCACGTATATCGTTTAATTAATTATGTTATGTTATTTATCTGTCTTACACATCGGTAAGGTAAATTCAAATGTATTTTTAAGTTTTAACGAAACATACTGAATATATCAGCTCCTTATATAATAATATACCTATGTGAATTTTTCCAATCAAAATGTATTGCATATTTTTATCATCATCATCCATCACTATATAAATTTATAGACGCTCTACAGCAGTGGTCTTCAACCTTTTTGGACTTGTGACCCACATTTTTAGGCCTACATTTTTCGCGACCCACGGAAGCTTTATAAAAAATCGTAAATTGCATAATGCTTTGCAATAGTACTATTAAAACTAATATATAACTGATACATAATACACAACATACACTACTATTTTTAAACTGTATTTTCATTTATTACATTTCAAAATGTATAATTATTAAAAAATTATTATTTTACCTTTTATAATTTTAAAAATTTTATTTTTATTTTAAAAAGAAGACTTATCGCGACCCAATTTTAAAGCTTACGCGACCCACCGGTTGAAGACCACTGCTCTACAGGATATTCAAGTTGGCACATATATAAAAATTAGAAGTGCAGAAGGAGTAATACCACAAAGAAATAATGCGAAAACACAAAAATACAAATTTATTAACAAAACGGTGACCAATGAAAGAAGATGGATGAATTTCAAGATAAGAATTTTTGAAATAAATATGTTTTATGAATAAATGATAAAATGTTTAATAAATAAATAACAATTATTGTATTATTTTATTTTCAAATTACATTTATTTTTTTTACTATACGATCACAATGATTTCTTAAAATTATTTTTAATTATAATAATATTTTTCAATTTTCAAATTCGTTTTTCTTTATTTTTACGCCTAATACTCAAACAGTCTCTAGAGACTTCAATTGAGTTTAATTTAATATGGACTCCATAAGCCTTTATTCTTTAATAATACGTGCATGTTACAAGATAGCGTACAAACTACAAACGTTATCGATCATTAGCCACCGGTAGAATAAAAAAAGTCATAATACGTATTATAAGTTAAATCTAAATAAACAATAAACATATATTTTACCGTATTTTTATAAATATAACAGGTATAGTATATATAGAAGGTATATAAAATAAATTGCCGCAGCTTACATATCGATTTTTAAAAAAAAGGTTAATTTTGCCACAGTTTACCATCTCCCGCAGTAATCTGTACGACATCGTATCGGTCATATGTTATACCACAATTCCATAACAATTATATATCTCTAAATAAAATGAATAAGCTAAAAATTAATATAGCTGACCAACCTCAAGTGCTTCTGTGTTGTATGATAACTAGTAGTGTAGAACATAAAACATCTGGGAAACCCGAACATTATTTTATGATAAAAATGAGAAATAAATTTAATTTCAACAATAATATGATTGCATGGATTATAATTATTAATACATGGAAATTACTCATTTTAGTATGATTTCGCACTTTCGCAGTACTATTACTAAACTAAATACCAACGTATTAACTAATTAATTAAAATATGTACCAAAAAGCAAACAATATAATTAAAGAAATATATACTAAAAAAGAAACAAGACCTCAAAATATGCATTTATATACAGCATAAAAAATTATGAAACTAGCTGTCTCAGCATTAAACTATTTGTTTTTTAGTTTTTTACTCAGTACCTACTCTGCTATTATCATGATAATGTAAAATGCTACAAGCGCCTCTACCCTAGATATGTAGGTAGTTCCCGCATTTTTTTTTTTTATAAGAAATATACCATCTGTACCCAGAGACACAATAAGAATATGTAGGCTAATTTACGAAGACGTGAATGGGTTGTTGGAAGAAGCCACCCAGTAGTGACACTTACTATTGACTTATTTTTTTATTTTTTTTTAGTTAAGGAGATCTCTGTACCATTTTCTTTTTAGTCGTCGATGAGGATTACCAGGAATTTCGTTTGACGCTAATTCACGGATTAATGGATTTGTGTGGGATTTCCGGATATGAGACGATCATGAAAACGTTTATAGAAGTGTTTTGCTTCTTCTTGGACAGTTTTTAGACGGAGATCAGTGTGGAGGGTGAGATTTGATATGTAAGGGGGAGAGTTTGCAATTTTTCTAAGTGTAATATTTTGAAAAGTTTGAATTTTTTTAAGATTTGAGATTTTGGCATTGCCCCAAAGTTGTATGCCGTAGGTTCATATAGGTTTGAGAAGGGATTTGTTCAATAGTAGCTTATAGTGTTTAAGTTTGTGTATTTATTGTTAATGAGGAGTGTTTTAAGCATGCGTAGCCTGGAATTCAGCTGTGACCGTTTAGTTTTAAATTTTAATATGGTGTGCCCAAGTGAGACGGCGATCGAGTGTTAGTCCGAGATATTTAACCGTAGGGGTAAGTTCCCGCATTTTAATGTAAAATGATTCATTTTTTTGGAAGTCCTTGGGAATGCTTTTCAAATACAAAATCCGTTTCATAGATCGAAGAATTGGAAAACTTAACTTTAAATGCATAGGTAACGTTTGATCATCTACAGTTTAACGGCTGTTGTCTGTTGGCTATCATATGCGTCCGGGACTCAAACCAGTGGATAACAACCAACGAGTCAATTGGGGTTACGCTATGAAATCACGTTTATTTCGATAAGTTCGTACTTTTGTTTGTTTGAGAATTGTTTAAAAAAAATTATGGTCATTTTTGAAGGACATTATGACAGTTAAAATGCATATTCAATATTTTAAGAGCATTTTTGGGTAGTTATTAGGGCATTAAAAACCCAGGCCCTACTTATAACTCATTAACAAATTAAATTTTAATATAAACAAGTACTTCAAAAATATATACAGCTTTAAAATCGAAATAATTTGATATTTGTTACAACTTGAAAATATGTAAAAAAATATGACTGTTGCCAATAAACAAATAAATAGTTGTAAATAAGTCTACTATGATCTATGGCTACCTCCTTAAAATATTAAGTACCTAAAGAAAATGATCCCCCTATCCATCACAATATCACATTTATATTTCAGATTATATCCAATATCCATGATTTATGATATAAATGACAAATAATTAATACATTACTTCTAATAAACCTAAATTTTTAAAACATTTATCACATGTTTATTGCGGTGATTAGTGAGCACTGAGTAGTCAAGTCAGTCAAGAGTCAAAAATAAAGTTCTACAAGTTTAGGTTGTAATAGTAAAGGGAATTTTGTTTTAATAATAGTGGGCCAATATAGTCTCAATCTGCCCCTAGTGCTCACAGTCTTCTCTCACTTTAGGCTTTTGTATACAATGATTTTATACCATTGAATTAAAATTTAACACATCCACTACAGTGATTTCCCAGACACCTAACTTACAGCAGAGCGTGAACCCCTTACCAGCTTTATTTTATTAAGTCAATCAGGGTTTTAAAAATAATTACCAACATTTTTTTTAATATCAAGTGTATATTTCAATAGTTTTAAATTGTAATGAAATCAAGCAGCATTATCTTTATCCACCAAATTGTTATTTCTAAGTCCTCCCTAAGTGGTGGGAGTAAGGGTTTTTAATTTTGGTCAGTTAATTCATCCCCCCCCCCACCCTACATTTGTATCCAGTTATGCCACTGGTCATCACAACATCTAATATTTGTTGACAACTACTATCAAACTATCAAACTTAAAGTTCTATTGGTATTTAGTATATTTAAATGTTGTAATACAAATACCAAATTGACTGCAATAGATTACATTTTAAGTGACTCATCTTCATAGTATGGCTATCATTTTGGTTGTTTTCATGATTCTTGATTAATGAATTTTTTTTTACAACACAATGAACAGTGCTGTAAATCTTAACTCTTATGTTCTAGTAAAACAATTCTGTTGAAATTAGTTAGTATATTGATATTTGATAATATTACTTATATTCATACAATAATAATTTATTAACTGTTAAATTAATTTTTTAATTTATATAATAATACAATTATTGGAAATCTTTTAAAAATATGTCATAAATTCTAACCATCATGTCAGCACCACAAGATGCCATTTGTAGAACACCTTCTCTATATCTTAGGTCAGTTTTATACAGTAATGGTTGAAACTTAATTTTCTTTACTGTTAAATGATGTCCAAATCTAAAATAGTAAATTATGTAAGGAAACAATATACATTTAATGATAAAGCAATAAACAAAATATATATTATTAATTATTGGTTAGCAGCTTATGAAAAAGGATACTCATTAATTAAATCAGCAATTTTCAACCAAGGTGTAACAGATTTTTCTTCATAACTCCATTTATATAAACCAATATTACCGCAATCAGCACCAACAGCTAATAAATAGGTTTTATTACATTCACTAATTAGTGTTGGAGCAAAGGCTACAGCAGTAAAACTCTTTTCTGATACTATTAAAGGATTGGTTTTGGCACAGTAAGTTATTTTGCTATCAACACTTTGATCGTTTTGACCCCAAATTACTAATTTTCCATCTCTAGATCCAGTTGCAAAGTATACAGAATCATGAGTCCAGGCACAACACCATATTATTCGCGTATGAATACCAGTGTGTTTATCTGATTTACTAATTATAACAAAAGAGTTTGTTTTTACATCATATTCAAATAATGACCAAGTACGATCACGTGAAACAGAGAGAAGATTTTTACTATCTGGTGAAAAAGCTAGTTGAGTCACAGTTAAATTATGTGACATTAACTTTTGTATCTGTTGAAAATTTTCTGTATTCCTATAAATCAAAAATTTGAAATTTGACCATGTTTTTAGAGTATTTTTGGTTTTTGTAATAATTACATTTTACATATAAATGGACATATTATTCCATACTATATTTTGTTTCAATTACCATATTATAATAGAAGCGAGCTCTAAGGATGTAGCTTTTGCTGCTGAGGCTAACCATTTATGATTAGATGAAGATGCTAAACAGTAAACTTCATAAACGTGACCATAAAGTTTTTGAATTTCTGGCCACAGTGTATTTTGAATTAAATCTTCTTCAGTTGGAGGCTCTAATACAAAATAATATTATATATTAGCTAAATGTATAAAAAAAGTATTGCTGATACTGGATAGAATAGGACATAATAATAAAATGACTGTCATTATTCAAAATAAATAATAAATCATTCATTTTTTCTTTATACCTATAGAATTTGAAGAATATCAAGAGCAAATTCTTTACAAATATTATTATAATACTTATATTTTTCATTAATTATAAATATTAAATAATTCAAATTATATTCAAACTACTTGTATTTTAAGGTACCAAGAATAAAATCAATTATTAAATAATGTACACAATTATGTAGTAAGTCATAGGTGGTATGAAAAAATATATTATATTTTTTTTTAACTTACGATTTAAAGACAAAGGAATAAAATAATGTTCTGGATAATCTTTCTTTTTTGGTTGACTAGTATTATTTTTACAGTCATCTTCGGACACTGCTTTATTTGATAACCCAAGTGATGGAACAGAAGCACCAAGTGGACATTTTGTAATATCTTAACAAAATTTAATTGCACATTATTATTTTAATGAACAAAATAAATTTAAAAAACATGTAACTAAACTCTGAAATAACTGAATCAATAATAAATAAAAAAGCATATGACTAGTAAAATTAATAATTTTAAGAACAAAAATATATTTACCAACTGAGTCAAAATTAATTTTAGCTAGTTGACTCATATTTTCTAAAAAATTGGAAGGTGCTTGAAATGCTCTTATAACTTTTTCCTCAGCTGAAGATACAAAACTTAAGCTTGATAACATAGCAACACTAGACATATTATATCCATGAACTTGAGGTCTTGCCATTTCATGCCAATTCTATAACAAATGGTAAATTGTTCTGAATTTATTTTGTCGACTTCCTTTGTATGTGATGCAAGAATCAGGTTAATTGTGCTATTCATTCAAGACTAGTAGTTATGTTTTATGCTTAAGTAGAGCAAATATGGTATACTCTGTTCCACGAGAAAAGGTACATGTTTTTTGTCTGTTGTTGCGTATCCCCCAACATTTTAACCCGTTTGGTTATAAATGTCAAATGTTCGGAAGTTTTTCCGGTGGTCGGTTTGAACAATGACTCGTTTGCCAACCAGCAGTAAGGAGTGGGAAAATTTGGCCTCTGTTCTATAACCAGCGTCAGTAGGATGTACGGAGTGGGTACCTTCACTCATGGAACAGAGTTTAGTTTGGGCCTCCTAAAAATAATTTTTAGTAAAATATATTCAGCTTATGAGCAATGCATATGAGTTATGAAATAGTTAAATTATAGAATAAGTTTTAAGATTCCCAAAATTACAAGAGGTTATATTATACTAATTAAATAAATACTAAGATTTATTTATTTGAGCCACAAGTCTCGCCCTTCACCTGAATTCAGCATTTGTCTTATAATTAATAAGCATATATTATATGATTATATTAGTTTTTCTCAAAACTATCAAATAAATAAATAATTGGAAATAAGAAAATACATACACAAGAATGTAAATTGTTATCTGGTTTATTTGATTTCAACCATTGAGCATGGATTCTTGAAGTCTGGTCAGAACTTACAGAAACAATATATTTGCCTTCTGGATCCCAATCAATGTCCTCAACAGATCCAAAATGACCTCCAATTGTAACTCCAGGAGTCCAAATACCATTAGTATTCTAGAGTTAAGATGTAAGTAATTAGAAGATTTTTAATTAGTTTTCACCATTTGTTTTTTATAGCATACTTTTGTCCATAAATGTAATGATCCATTGTGTCCTTGAGCTAATATACTATCACCATCAGGAGAAAATTTCCCACCATAAAACCCTAATGTATTACCACCAACTTCGCCTAACCTTATTAAATCAACCCAAAGACCACTGTTTTCATCATAAGCCCAAACCGCCAATGTCTTATCCATAGAAACTGAGAGTAACTCCATTTTTTTCTCTGAAATAAAATCTAAAATATAGTATTGTAATATAGATACTCAGTAGGCTGGTTTCACATAAAAAATTGCAAAAATTAAAATTTTCAAATCATTAATTATTTATCTTTAATCTTATGATAAGCTTTTGACTCATCAAAAAATTTTGTATTCCATAGGTTAGAAAACACTGCTATAGACAAGTAAGATTAATTTTCTTTAAAAAATATACCTGTGTAAAGATTAGGTTTCCAATGCACTCCATAAATCCAACCATCGTGTCCTGATATAACAGTTTCTAATTGAATAATATAAATACAGTCAGAACCATCTTGTTTAGTCACATTAAATGTTTTACTCTCTAATTTTAAAGTGTCATCAAATTCTTTTTTTGATTTGCAATAACTTTCTTCAATTGTAAATTTCCACAATCTTATTACAGAATCTTGAGATCCGCTTGCAAGAAATAAATTCCCTAAATTATCTAAAAAAAACAATATAATATTATTATGTAAGCTGTTTAGTGGGTACACATATTTTTAGTAAGTTAAAAATTTAAAATACATATTATTAAAATGTTTATCCTCTGGTCATACATCAAAACAATTATAGCTAATTTTGTAAATTGATCATACAGTAATTACCTTCAGATATAAAATCTAATGAACGAACCCAATCTTCATGACCTATTAAATAATGGCTAGGAAGAAATACTGAATCACCATTGCTAAAATCATTCATATACAACTGTATCTTGCTATTTGATAAACCACATGCCAATAGAAGACATTTCGTATCAGATAACAATGTAATTTTAAGAGACAAACATAATATACTGTCAAAATCAATAGTTTGAACACATTGGGGTGTATCTGAAAATAAATAATTGATCGTCACAGAAGAAATACAATTAAATCATAATAAGTAATTTTTTAAATGATGATGTGAACTATAAGAAGTATATTAAATTATTATATTTTATTTTTAAAATAGTAAAGTGGTTAAAGTTACCATAAACTTAAAAAAAACCAACTTTTTAGAATCTGGAGAAAATCAAAATGTATATATTGAAGTTATTATAGATAACCAAATCAATGACGGTAATATTTTTATTTGTAGAGATTTAACTTAATGCTGAGATGCATATATTATTATAATATTATATCATCATATAATATTATTTTAAGTATATCTGCCTAATTTTAAAATTGTGACATGGAAAATTTCAACTATGTGAATGTTATTTATAGAATACTCATTTTCAAATTTAATTATTAGTTAATTACCTCTAATACTGAACTAAATCCCACAAAAAAATATAAACAAATGTAAATATTGCTATTACTATGTTAGCATTAAGCAATATAGCAGATGGAAATAAGAAATTTATGATGTGTATACTTAAATTGTTTGCAAAATAATTTTTTTTTTAGGTTAACACTATTATTTTTCAAAAAGTATTAATGTTTTCAGAACTATTTAATAAGAAATCATAGGAAAAAAATTTAATTTTTCAACTATTTTAATTGTAATGTTTGTTTGAGTTTCTTACTTTTTTAATGACATTACATTTTTAATTCAGTATTCTGAAGCCAAACATTTTTCTGAAATTTTCAATACATAAAAATTGAATTTTTAATGAGTAGTTAATTTTTTATAAGCATTTAAGGTTTTGCTGAGCAGAGTGAAGTGGCACAGGGGTACCAGCAAAATTACAGTTCATTACACAGCTCAAATTAATTTTAAATATTTATAACTTACAACTAATTAACTACTTGTACAAAATTAAATTTTTATTCATTGGAATTCTTATCCACAAAATTTCAAGTTGATTAAATCTAATAGGTTTGGCTCTGCGTTGATTATGAATCAGTAGAAGACTTTGGTTTACATGTATTGAAAGATATATTATATAAGTACAATCTAAGTTTACAATTTCTAAAAAATAAAAACAAATTTTCCAAAAAATTAATATGTTACTGTTCTCCAATAAAAAGTTGTGAAAAACAATGGAAAAAAATAAGTAAGGCGTTTATAGTTCAAACCCAACACCACTTAACACGATGTAATAGGCGTTAAATTATTTACATTATGGTTATTATTTTTGGTACACAATTAATTTTCCCCTCAAAAAATATACATTAAAACCTTCTCTGAGTCTAGACCTATTTAAAAGAGAAAAATGTACTAAAATCTGTTGGGTACTTTATGAGTTATGCGCGAACACACAAAAAAGGGGTACTGTTTTATACAGTATACAGATACAGATTATTTTCAATAATATTAAAATCATTTTTAATTAGTACTGTATAGACTATAGACGTATAGATAAAAAAAAATAAAAAAACTTACTTTCATTTTTATGTTTAATCCAAACTTTAACTGTACAATCACCAGCAGCAGTAACAATAATGAGTGTCTGATTTGAAAGTCTTATGGCATCATTTATTGTAACAACATCAGTATGTCCTAAATACAAATTGATTAGGTACATTTAAAGAGATATATTTCGTTAAGATATATTACTTATATAACAAAATCAGCTATATTTATTTGTGTCTAAAAATTAAGTATTAAATAATCATATAAAATTACTTTAATTACTATGCAGTCGGTGTTAAGTACAAAAACATGTCTTACAGGAAAAAATCTCACAGGAGTGAAAGGGGTGAAGGAGAATAGTTAAATTTTGTTGATTTTTTTTTATGTAAAGAACATTTTGCAGGTCAGCTTAAAGACCGATTTTCAAAATTAAAATTATAGAAGCTTAGATGGGCACATTATTTGTTATTTTTCAAATGTATTCTACTAGCACTATTGAGAGTAAAATTAAAAGCCAGGCTTTGATCTGACCTCAAAAAAATGCTCATCTATTAGACAAAAACAAAAAATTATTAAAATCTAAAAATTCAACAAGGCGTGAGAGTTTTTCTGGGTATGGCATGATATAATACACTGTATCAACCTTCTCTAAATAAGTATCGCCATATTGAGCAGTAGATTAATGAAAAAGTATTAAAATTAAGAAATAATTTTCATTATTTATAGGTTTGTGAAAATTTTAAAAACTGGCTCCGAGACCCTTAAGTTATAAATTATATTGAACCATCATCTTATTTTACAGCATTGAGTAACACATTAATTCTTACCTATACAACTGCTGAGACAACTAATGAGTATCTACTAACTGTAGACACAAATGTTCTACAACTACAATACAATGAAATCTAAAATGATTCATCTCTACAATTTTATATGGATAGGGTAGACCAAAAGATCTAATGCTAAAATAAGGCTCCCAGCAACTTTATGTTTTCCATTAATATTTTCTTAAGACAAAATGACTTGACAGGGATGATTTGCCTATTTTTCATACTTATCATATTATGTAAATTACCAATTAGTTTTTCATAGGCTTTATAGGATCCTGTTGGTAGAATATCTTCCCATAATATAGCTGTATTATCGGTTGAACAAGAAACAAAGTCTTGCTGGCTACAGCTATCTACATTTTGTACCCACTTAACACTATTTACACGCATTGTATGAGCAACAAATGAAGAAACAACTCGTCCATCGCTTTCATTCTGAAATCAAATTACTGTAAAATTAAATACCACCTTTTTTATTTTTTTTCTGAAGACTTAGCTTGTGTAATTAGTTATCTATTGCACTTTAACAATCAACAATTTATAAACAATGAAATTAAAGTCAACAAAAATATATAAATATGTACACAGTTAAAATGTTATCCATAATCTAAGAGCATTTACACAGAATAAACAATTTAGTTATAACTATATAACTTATAAGGGTCATTGATATTGATGCTTGGTTGCATAAAACTAAAAAAATAATTAATTAAAATAAATAAAAGGCTTACACCTTTGGGTTAACATAGGTAACTTGCTCATAAAGTGTTTTATGGTAAAGGTGGTACTATGATACTGAAGAAATAAAAGCTATAATTATTAATGAAGGTAACTTACCGTTATTTGAGGATCATATAAATGGACAGCGTTACAAGAACCATAAATAACTAATCCATTAACGCCCCAATCTATACAATTCGGTGAGCTGTTTACGGCTGAAGACACATACACGGGCTTAATTTTTTCGAACTTACACATTTTCTTAAATCGAAAATTGATATCTAAACATTTACATAAATGTAAGCAAATATGACAGTAGATACTACCAGAGTACCAAGTATTAATTATTATGAACTATAAATTTTGAGTTAAATTTAAGTATAATTATGAAATCTAGTTTACTTAATTTGCCACCGTTTAATGTTTATAAGACAGCCCGACAAACTACTGATAAAAATAATGGAGCACATGTTCATTGTTATTATCAGTAAAAATGGTGCGAACACCAGATAATATTATCAACATTGTCGTTTATGAAATAATTTAATAATATATTTTGGTAGGATGAGTCGTTAGGGTTACCAATATTTAAATAAAAAGAAAACGTATTGAATTACGGGTTGATATTATATTATATTATATTTTGGTAGGATGAGTCGTTAGGGTTACCAATATTTAAATAAAAAGAAAACGTATTGAATTACGGGTTGAAATATAATTGGTTTTAATATAACAGGTAAAACAATAACTTTTTATTTACAGGGATTTTGAATTTTACAATTACAACTAGAAAAATAAATCACGTGGTTTTATACAATATTGTCGGGCGTTCGGTTTTTTTACATTACGGGACGTTGACGACGACGTACGTACGACTAGTCACTAGTGGGAGTCGGGAGAGTTCGTCGGTGGGCAGTAGTCGCGTCATGGAGGCAGTGTTAAATTGAGCGGAGGGGCGTGCTGATACCGCGGTTGTTGTTGTGGGCCACCACAATATCTTAACCAAGAATTGAGATAGTGTTATACTTATAATCTTAGATCATACACAAAATTGTATTTGATCAAAGGTTACATTAATAATATAATTATATTTTATACTACAGCACGACTGCCATCGAAAACTCGGTGCCCGGTGGTGGGTGGAGGAGACGAAAACGTCGTTGAAATTACATTTAAAATTCGCGCCTAAGTTGTGATACTTGGTTAAAAACATTAAACCCTATTTAATATCATACAGAGTTCAATGGTTAAAAATTAAAGATTTGAGATGATGAGGCTCAGCGGTAGTGTTTGAATTTGAGTAGGACCATATTGTAGGAGTGAGGAGACACACGTAAAAATACTTAGTAACGCGAAGCACAACTTGTATTTTAGCAGTTCATGTGTTCTTCAAAAATATTAATATTTCAATATTTTGTAACACTAATGACAATACCTAGTAACTTAATTTTTGTGGACTTTTTGATATCTAATTATTTGTATTCTCTTAGCACTCAAGCAGCAATACTAATATGTATATCTAGGAAATTTTGCAGACGCAACACAATACAACTGTCAGTATTGCACCATCCTCTAATAAGTGCAATTAAAAAAAAACATATTTATAGGATAGTTATTAAAAATTAATTGTTTTAATTTTCCTTATACAATATAATAAGAAAAAACATAACTTGACAACTTTTAAGTATGATATATGATCATTAAATAATAAAACTTATTTCAAAAAGAATTGAAATTTAAACAAAAATTATAAAAATTGATCTTAAGTAGAACATGACTTTAAATAATTTTTGGCTTTTTCATAATTGTTATCAAATCTCTTCAGTACTATAATATTCTGGATAGTATTGGTATATCCATCTGCTACTAACATCTCTAATAAAACATCAATATCTTTAGGTATGAGACGTGGAGTTGATGTGGGTGGAGCTGAAGTGGGTGGAGCTGAAGTGGATGGAGCCGAAGTGGATGGAACCGAGGTGGGCAGAGCTGATGTGTGTGCATCCGACTTCAAGTTTTCATATGTGGTTGATGAGTTCTATAATATTAAATAAAATGTTCCTTTTTATTTTAAATTATTGGTTATAGTGGCAGTTATATTTGAACCTTACATCATTAGTTACTGCAGCAGTTGTTGAAGACAATTTTTCCTTGTCTTTCTTGGTTTTTTTTTGACGCTGACCAAGGCTGGGCTTTACATCTAAGTCTTCGCCGCCTAAAACAATACTTATGTTGTAATAACTATTGTTTATTTGAAATGTATATTTTATTACATTGTTCACACTTAAACTTACCTAAAGAATTATTCTTTGCTTTGTTTCCCGAATCTATCTGTAAGTGCTCAGTCAAAATCGACCTATTTCATATATATATATTTTAAAGAGTAAACTATTTAAAAAATTAAGATATATACTTTATCATACCTAATACTTGAAAGAGTATTGATTTTATTTTCATCAATTTGTTTGGTTAATTCATCCGATAATCCATCAACTTTAGATTCTAATTTGTCAAGTTTCTTTAATAACATCTAAAATTCAACTTTCAACTATAACTTACGTTTTTATAAAATCATAAAATAAATGTTTGTACTACCTTAAACTGAGCATTTGTGTCATTTGGCAGTTTGTGAATTACAGTTACCACAAGTTCTACATTGCAGTAAATTTCTTTGGTTACAGCATTATAGGCAAGTTTTGTTTTCTATAATTGACAAAAATTGTTATTAGGTAAATAATAAAGTCAATAACCCACTAAACATTAAAAAATGATTGGCAAAACAAATCAACAGATTTTAAGGTTTTAAATATTGTTACTGTGTATATTGACTGTATAATAAGCTGTCTCAAAGGAGTAAAAAATGTTTTTCTAAGTTCAGAGAAAATAATTTTTTTTGCATATTTGAGAATATTATGTAAATAATGGGAAAAAAAATATGTCATATTAATTTTAAAATAAAGGTATTTGAAAGAATATTTTTTGAACATTTGAAAAAATAAATCATGGAGTGATAGTACTAATAACTTATAAGATATAATAGTATTTGTTTATTATCGCCAATATATTATAATTCATCACATTGCATAGGTGAATGTCTGTCAGTCGGATAATTTTTAACAACAGTTACAAATAAAAAAAATAAATAATAATAATACACTGTTAAAATTAATTGAAGCATAGTACATTTTTTGAGTAATTTTAAGAGTAATTTTAAGAGTTAAGTTACATAACACAAAAATTATAAAGTACAGAAGTTTTGAGGGCTTGACAAGTTTCATATTTTATTATTATTTGACTTTATATTTGATATGAACAATAAAACAATAAATTAAAATGGATATTAAATTATTTTCAGACAATATTTTGACAAAAAAGTATGGTAAATTCAAATATATTATCTATAATCCCCAAAATAGGTGATTTCACTCTAAGATTATTCAAAAACAAAAAAAGATGTGTTAACTTATATATTGAAGTAAATTTAACTAATATTAAACTTAAAGTAATAATGGTTATTTGCTTTGTACATGGTATATTACTTTTTTATGTTAGTTAAATTTTTAAAGTAGTTATGAATATGTTAAACATTACGATTTCAAAATGCTTATAAGTTATAACTAATTCAAAAATAAAAATATTGTACAAAACCAACATACCAACAAAAATAATGTTCTTACTTATAGAATTTATAATGATTTAATTCACTCAAACATAAAATTAATTCTGCAAAAACCAAATATGCTATCTGGTCGTGTTGTAAGTTTGTGAGACAGAATAACACATGCAGGCATAAAATCCTCATAGAATTACCAAAAGATACAATGTATTTTTTAAACTCTATACAATATAAAAATAATTTACTTTATTTTCAATTTATGTAAGCATTTTTTTGCTGGAGTGTCGCCAGTGGGCAGATTCTACAATCAAGTCCTTCTGTTGAATTTGTCTTGTTTCTAACCATCTATTATGCTTATTATACTAAATATTGTATTGACGGTATATAAGTCAAATAATAATAAAAAAAAAAAATGAAAGCATATTTAATGTCAATCTACTTTATTAGTTGCAGTAAAAATTGCAAAAAATAATTAACTAATTTATGAACTGAAAGAAAATTTTTAATTTAAATTTAAAACACTAATAAGTTTCAACATTTAGTTTATACACTTAAATCAAAATTGTGAACTTTACCTTTAAAAATTCAATATCATCATCTGATTGGATTTCCATCTATAAAAAAATATTTATAATTTATAAATTTAAATATAATACTAGGTATAATAATTACATAATATATTAATAAAATTAAATACAAAATATGTTAAAATGAATTAAAATATTTTATAAAATATTATTTTAACTTTAGATTATTGCTGAGTGCTGATATATAATGCATCAGCACCAAACTCCACTGATATCCTATTGATGCGTTCACATTTCTTTTTTCCAATAAAATTAATAAGATACAGTACATCAAGGTATATTACTATAGTCATATATGCAATAGTCAATAAGTTAATTTACAACAATGGATTAGAATATAATATGTTTTAAAATATTATCTTACCATCCTTCCGTCGGGTGTTGGACATAGTATCACAAGATCATCTGTTTCCTCCAATTGTAACTCATTTTTCTATAAAATAATTAATATCATCAATTTATTGCATTTATATCTATTTACTTTACAACAGTGAAATCAATTGTTGAGCTACCTATACCTAAAAGTTTATGCAAGAAGTTAATAAAAAATATGGAAAACAATTGGTAAAATTAATCGTCAGTTAAGTAATATAATTGTTAATGTATGTATCAATAGATTTATTTACCAGTTTTACAATGAATCCAGATACATTGCTAGGAGTTTGTATTTTAAGTTCAAATAATGCTTTTTCACAGCGAATGTTAAACGTAACAAAATCGTCAGACATATTTAAATGTGTGTTGTTTCAATGATGAATTAACACTATGGCACTTACACCGCAGATTATATGATTATATTTTCATAAAATCTGTGCCTATACGAAGTATGGTGTATTGAACGCGTAGATAATCCAACGAAATACAATTTAATAGTTAATCTCGCGCCCGTGCCGGATGGTCGTGGTGAAGAATTCAGGGTGAACAACCAAACAGTAACCACTGCCGACCGCTACACTGGGCTGATGACCGAACGAGTGAACGATTGATGTACTCGATGTAGTAATGTCTGGAGAGTGGTGGTTAGGACTAAGGAATGCCTAAGCAAATACGAAGTGAATAAGAGCTACGAGTTACAACAGAACTACAAGAACTGGAGAAGTTAAACGAATAAAAACGGAAAACCCTAGATGCTTACATGACAAAAATACAAAATCAACAAATCGGCATTTAATTTTAACTACCTATCAATCACCAATCAGTATAAGCATTAAGCGGTATACTATTTATATTAGTATCACAGAACAAAGTTTGTTCTGTGTTACCATATAGTTCTTATTTGATAAGAAGCTTATTGTTCATCTGCATACATAGAAATATTCAACAACTAGATAGCGGTCTTCTTCTCTCCTTCACCCTTATTGACGTCTATGGTCGCCATTTACAAAGCTTTTACAGGCAATGTTTACAAGAGATGAGACAGTTATAACACTTATAACTTATATTATCAGAGTATATTGTATATATTATGTATACGTAAGTAAATATATATATGAATGAATGTAAAATAATTGTAAACATTGCCTGCTTTATAAATGGCGGCCGACTTCAACATTGGTCACAACTGTAATTTAAAGACAGCTATATAGTTGTTCATTTTATTTTTGTATAATACGTCTATGCCTACATCGCGAGTTCACGACACCAAACAATAATAATATTGTAGCCTGTAACAAAAATTGAATTGAACTTTATTAATCAGTCAAAACTGGTATCATGTTTTATTTGTTCATATTGCCTTGTATTATATGAAAATAAATTATAATTAATAAAATAACATAAAACATACCTGTATACCTATCAAGAACTAAGATTTATATCTTAGTTCTTTAGATGGTAAATATATATAGATGTAGTTACATAAAAAATGTATTAATGGTCTAATAAAGTGAAAAAATACGGATTTTAAATGGATCAGTATATTGTGATTAATTATTTTTTTTTGAAGAGTTTGAAGTCAAGACCTCAGGGGTGGCCCACTTAAATGGACTTGAGATCAACTTCATCGTTTTGAGGGGTGGTCACGAACCGCGATCGACATCAATTTTCCCAATTTAATAAATTACCAAAAACAAATGAGGCCGTAATTTGTATACTTAATGAAACGGGGGATACCAGTTAGCTGATCAACCTATTTGCCAATTTTTTTGTGGGTGGGGAGGGGGAAATATTTTTTTACATTAGTACATATTTTTATAAAAACCCTTTATTAGTATAATGCAATTTTAAAATATATTATTAATTATAATGTGTTACATAAGTGCAATCAAATAAAAAAAGGAATTAAAATTATATATATATGTATTTACAAAAAAAATATGATTAAAATTAGAGTTTTATAAACGAAATTGTAAGCTTCTTGAATGTTTTTTTGCAAACAAATCATAACTTCTTCTGGTTTTATATATTATAACAATTTGATGATGAATATTTAATAATGATAATCAGATACCTACCTGAATTTTTCGTGATCATAAGTTTTACATCATAGTTATATTCTTACACATGATATGAGCCATGGGAGGGGGTAGGCCCTTCTGACCCCTCCTTAAATCTGCCCCTGCTATTTAGAATTTACTATTTAGTATTTGACATAACCAAACTTACTCCTATAAACAATATATTAAACAATAGTTATAAATTATTAAGTATCATTCTAAAAAATGTATTATATAATTATTCGTACAATACAATTGAGGTAGCGGTGTCGTAAGCGATCTAAAAAAAATTGTATGATCTACATTGTAGATTCTACAACTATAACAAGCTATATACAATCTACAATTTAGTGCGTTAGAGACGGGAGTTACCCGTTTCCTCCAAAATATACTATTGGCTATTTCAGCCATAGCCCCTTCCCGCCAGTAATGAAAAAGGTACGATTAAAATTTCCGCCAAAAGGTATTTTCGTCAAAAAAAGTTTGGTGTATTATTTTTTGGCCCCAAGAAGGGCCATGCCCCTAGTAACTAACCCCTAAGAATAATGTCAGCTGCCAACTGCCAAGGATCGCATTTATAGACCAACAAACTGGGTCCTTCCCAAGCAGCCAGCATATTTTTACTTTATGGCGCGGACGTACATACAGGACTGGTCACGGACGCTCGTTACAGTATAAGCCTTCGGAAAATTAGTGTCACACTCTGTTCAATATTTCTGTGCCTTCAATTTTTGGCGATTCCGCAGATATATAGAAATATGGAATTAAAGTTTATTCTATACCACGATTAAAGATAGTATCTTAAATCGTGTTCTATACTTAGATCATATTATATGTATATGATCTAAGATTCTATATATGATATATCTGAGGGTGATCCATATTCCGTTATCATGGTATAAATTGTTCATTTGAAGCAGTAGTACCAATAGATATTGTTATTCGACAAACGATATTATTTTATGACTGCAGACTGGGAAGGAATTGGTTACATTGCTTGATTATTGTTTTGAGGTTACTTTTGAGTCGGATTGACATTTCACAAAATTTTGTGTTCAGGAAAAGTTTCTTAATTAATCTTTTCACGTTTGTAATTATCTTCACATTTGGACACCAAGTAAGTAAATTTAATTTTCATTGAAGTACATGTATTGAACCATCATGTGTTCACATTTATTTCTGTTTAAATATGTATTCTTTTGGTCAAATTTTAACGTGATATTTTGGACTCGGTGTCTTTTGAACCATGTGTTGTTTACCAATTAAGATTGTACAAAAAATATACGTTGTATGTTCATTTTAGATTCGTTCACCATGTCGGCCGATCTAAGCTGGATGATAATTAGGAACAGTAATGCGTTTTTGTCAAAGAAAACTAACATTAAGAAACCATTCAGTAAAGTATGTTAAATTGTAGTTACCTACGTATAAAAATTGTAATTGATTTTATTCTTCATAATACACGGCCGAACTTGAAATATATTTGTTAGGAACCAATGAACTTGACAAACTTGGCATCAAAACGCTACAATGGTCTTGTACATGATAACAGTATTGGTGTGGAATCGGCTCCAAATAACAAGGGTTTCACAGTCATTACTAAGAAACGCAAGTTGGCAGTGAGTATATATTATGAGTATTAATTTAAATGATTATTGATTATTATATTTAAACTAAAATTGGTGATTAGATATGCTTCACATTTTCTTAATCAAATTTGGCATCCTTGTGGGCTTCTAATTTGTAGCTTGTTTTGTTGTCATTTAAAGAAAATTATATTTCTTAGGCACTTATTGATTAGCATATTAACATCTAATAGGTGCATCTATATTTTGTTATTATGTTATGTACTTAATGTGATGAGATCTATATATTAAACAGTTCCACACATAAGTTTACTAATACAAGATTTTATTTTTAATAAGTATATTGAATACAATTTCTGTTACGACTGATTCAGTTTGCTTAGTAGATTAAGATTTTTAACTTAATTAATATGAAATAACTCCATAATACCAATCATTTAAGTGATGAATAATGCTTCACCAACTCTGAAATAATTTGAAGTTATAACAATATTTTGAAACTGATAAATTTTTGGTATAGTTGAAAACATTAAATTACAATATTAAGCAATTATACATTTGTGTATCTAATGATTTTTCTCAATAGTATACATATTTTTTAAATGTTATGTTTCAAACAAACTTTAAACATTTTATTATTTGGTTACGATCCTCTATTAATATAGATTATTGACTATATACTACAGCAGTCCCAACTTTTGCTCCTGAAATAATTGCTGGGTCAAACAAAACTATTCTACTCTTGGGCAGGGGCGCTGGTTGCTTCTATTAGTGGATTGTAATGATGGATGAGTAGAACTTGTATGTATTTTTGTTTGCTGCCTGGTGTACTCTAGTGTGCTTATGTTAATGAGAATGTTGTCTGAACATATTCAGTTTTCAGATTATAGTTAATCCACACTTATTATCTTTGTAATTAACTAAACTGTTCAAATTAGGCTATCATAGACCTTAAAAAAAATTCCAACAAAGAATTTTTTTAATTACAGTTTCGCTTCTATACATGACAAAATATGTTAAGTAATTTTGTTAATTTACAAATGTAAAGGTTAGTATGTAAGGTACAAATAGATAATCTGTGATGCTTGATTAATATCATCCACTTATTAATTAATAAATGATTAAATTGTATGAATTTATTTCAACGATTAATTGGTTTAGCTTAACCCAAGTGATGAATATAGCTTCACCAACTCTGATATTTTTTGAAGTGAATAACTGTATAACTGATGGGTATTTAGTGTTTTCAATGGCTTTTGTATGCTTTTAAACACTAATTTTGTATTTATATTAATATAGTTACTTAAATTTCTTTATAATTGTCTCTATTCATGTATTATGTAGGTTAGGATTTCTCTGTGGCAAACAATCTTACCAAATATCAGTGAATTCATATTAAATATTAATTCTACTTTTAGTTAGCAACTAAGGATGACTTTCCATTTATAAATAATATAAATTAAACCCTAAGCTTATGTACTGATCCACATGTCTAGAATCCACTGTGTTCCATCATAATATGTAACTAGTTCCTTTATTTTTTTTAGAATAAACCAGGAAAGTCTCTTGTGAAAGTAAACTTTACTAGTGGTCCAAGAAGATCATTGTTCAAGTTGCGTAAATATTTGCTTGGAAACAACTACAGAAAAGACCTTATTCAGGTACTATAATTAATTTCAAATATAAATTAGAAACTATAAAATAAATGAATTTGTGATTGATATTTTAGGCTTCTCTGAGGAGGGCTAGTGCCATTTTGGAATCACAAAAACGAGCTACATTGACCCTAAAGAAGTTGGGTAAAAGCAAGAAGCCAGATGCTTAATATTTTTAAAATATATTTTTTTTTGTCTTAAAAGTACAGTTTTTTTCATTTCCTTATTTGATTACTATCCTGTCTTTGTTCTGCAAAATGGACAATAACCTAATCTTAATACTTCAACTTCATATTCATCTGAATGAAACATCTGAAAAAAAATATCATTAAACAAATTTTAGTATGTATAAAATATTAAATAATATAGGTACCTTAAAACAATTTTGACAGTTAGTCACTGAAAATCCAGGTAATACATTTCTGTAGTATTTAAACTTCAATGGCTTTGGCCATTTACAAACTAATATACTAGTGGTGCTCATTGATTTTAATAAATTTTTGTTTACTTTTATGGGTTGATAAGTATTTTCTTTATTCTAAGTAAAAAAAAAAATGATTTTATAATAGACATCTGTCTGCAAGCCTTAAGCATAATTATGAGTTATGTTAGATATTATGATCATCCTAAAAGTACTTGACAATTTTACCTCAAAATTCATAAGTTTATATGTAAACGGGTCAACAGATTGATCTTGATTTTCTTCATTTAAAATCAATGTATTAATTTTCTGAGATTTATTTTCAGACTCTTTAGGTTTACTTTCATCATATGAATTTTGTATTAATTTCAATGCCTCAGTATCTGATATATTATCTTCTAATTGAAATTCAATCAGTGGTAAAATTTCTGATGGGTATAAATTGCAAAAAAATGTATTAAATTATTTGTTTAAGATTCATGATTACAATTTTTCTTTTGACAACTTCTTTAATATACTAAAAGCTAAATTATAGCTAACAGTTATTCAAATTAACATGAATAAGGTCTAAGGAGTAATAATTTTTTTAAGCTGCTTAAAATTCTGAATTTCTCATCCATAAATTGAAATAGCTTAGCTAGATATATCAGTTATGTTGGATGTTAAATTTATATTTATGCAATAATACAAACCAAATTTTATGTGGGAAAATATAAACTTGTGATTGCATGTGATACATGTTGGAACAACTGGAGAATTATAAGTTAAACAACGATAACACATTGATAAAAGATCTTCGTTGTCATGAAATGGCTTTGCACGAATACTCAATGAAGCAAGATCTATATAATCCTTGAGTAATATAATATAAATAAGATAATATATATTGTATTTTTAAAGAAAGCAAGTAATACTACTTGATATTCAGAAGGAATTCTCAGCTGTTGTAATTTTGTTAAAATTTGTCTTGCTAACTTAAATGCCCTCATGGTAAGTGCTTGTTTTGATAATGTATATAATATTGCACTATAACATTTAACAATTTTATTAAAATAATGAATTTTGCAAATTTAAGTTAAATTTTCCTTTTTTGGTATAACTTTTAAATTATTAAATAGGTATTCAAAGACGACTACTTGAACAATACATAAGTACATAACCTAATACTGTTTTATTTAAATTAAATAACTTACAATTTTGAAACTCCTTTTAGATTTATATTTTTTGTCTTATTCATGAGAAATCTTGATATATTGAATAAAGTTTCTGGTTGATATGACATAAAAGGATCCTCCTGCAGGAAATATCTCACAATATTAAATATTAAAGTGAATTAGCAAATGAGATGCAATGTTATGAATAGTACGAACCATGTAACGGTGAATAGCATTGTATGCATAATATATTGAAGCATACTTGTCATATAAATTGTGTTGGCTTATCATTTTGTCAGAGGTTTCATTACTGAAATAAATAACCTTGTTAAAAATATTGTCTGCATTTGATATCTAACAAAGGTTAGATAGTATTTACCTATTTGAAGCAATATTTAAATATTGTCTACTTAATAACCAATAATAATGACCAGCATCTTGAAAACGTTGTTCGTCAACAGCATTTTCGGTCAGCATCTGTAATACCTGGAATGCACGTTCTGGTCGGCCACCTTTAAGAAAAGCTAAAAAACGAACAATTTATAATAAAAGTACAATATTAAATGTAATAAGACTATAAATTGAAAACCTTTTTGTGCTTCAACAAATTTATCATTTTCTGCCAGCCATTCAGCATAAGGTAAGTATACTAGAGGAGCAAATATTGGGTTTTTTTCAACTAGGGCAAAGGCTTGATCCCAATTATGGGCCTCTACATGCAAAGATACCATGTCAGGTCCCATATCCTTGCCCAATTTAGCATATATTTCAACAGCACTTTCTGTATCGCCTAGTTTACGGAGCTCATCACCAATTCTACTTAAAACTACTTCTTCAGCTTTGTCAGTGTGACGTCCAAGTTCTAAAAGCCTATGAAAATGTAGAATATGGTAAATTGTTGCATGTCTGTATGGTTCTATTGAATTATTATATATAAAATTACATGTGAGTCCAACAATTATGAACCATAATATCAATAGAACGGTCGAATTCTTCAGCTGAAATATAAAGTTCTGCTGCTACTTTATGTTCATCAATACTCATAGCCCATTCAGCACGTTTAATAAGTAGTTCTTTATTTTCACCAGCCGTATTTAATCCAATAAATTCCTAAGATCCAGTTAATGAATTAATTTTGTATCAGAAATCAATAATTTAAAAAATAAATGTATAATACTTGTGCCAAATCAAACATTCTCAAATCGGTATACATGGTAAAAGCTTTATGTTCAAAACCCCATTTTTGATAAATTCTAGCAGCTTCTTTGAACTTTCCTTCGTAAGCAAGTACATCAGCCAGCAGACAATGTTTGTCTTTATCATTGTGTGATCCTTTTTCCTTTTAAATATATTAAATTTTTATATAATTCTAATATTTTATAAATTATATTATATTCTTAAGAGGTAATCTGGGAATAATGGACATAGCCCTTTAGGCATAAAATGTATAATAATAGACTAATCAATACAAATATAAGTACTAAAAAGCGGGTAAGTACAGTAAGTTACATAGGTCACTGTAATAGATGGTGTAATATTTGAATTTAATGATATATAATCATTGTATCCAAAAAACAATTCTAAGCGAAGATGGTCTGTCAGCATATAATATTAATTGGTTTATTTGATGATATTATTCTGATTAAAGTAATTTATTTAACTATTAAGAATTAGCACCATTTCTTCTTCTAAGGCGTCTTAAATACCATTAAGGTCCATTGCCACAATAACAACATCCTTCCACTTTTCTCTGTCTCTTGACACTTCCTCCACATTTTCCACTCCAATCATCCTGAGGTTATCCTTGACACTATCAGTCCATCGTTGTCTGGGTCTCCCTCGGGGCCGTTTTGTATCATTTTGTTATGCTCCCCAGTACACCTTCATATCTCCAAACATGACCGGCCCATCTTATTCTGCTACTCTTCATAATTCCTACAGTATCGGCTTCTTCAAATAATTCTCTTAACTCTTCATTTGTCCTAATTTCAAATTCACCTCTTTCATTCTTTTTTAGTCCAAAAATTGTCCAAAGTATTTTCCTTTCCAAAAATACCCAATTTCTTCTCATCCATTTTTGTTATTGCCCACGTCTCACATGCGTATAATACTATAGCCTATAGGTCTAATTAAAACATTGTAAAATGTTGTCTTTGATCTTCTTGATAGTAATTTTGACTTGAATAGTGTTGATAGTCCAAAATAACATCTATTTGCTACCATCAATCTTTCTCTTATTTCTTCCTGACTATTTGTGTTTTCATTCACCCAAGCTCCAAGGTATTTGAAATGTTCTATTCTTTCAAAGAAAAAACCTTCTATTTCTAATAGTCTTGCCGTGTGATGTTGTCTGGATAGTATTAGGTATTTTATAAAGTATTTATTTTTGGAATTAGCACTACAGTTAGTTATAATCATTTTTGTCAAAAGAAAACTACATTTGAAAAGTCATTGGGTTAAATCATTATTCTTGGTTATTTAATATGTAATTTTGTCTAAATTTGAACATAAAATAACTATAAAAAAAACTGTGTTCATATTTTTTGGTTACAGAATAACCTTACTACATAGAACATAGTTTTACATTTTCAATCCTTAGCAACAGAAATTGAATGTCTTAAAAAATTTAGCTACTCAATAATTTGTAAACTTTTAATTGAATACATTTTGTCAACATTTCAAATTTAAATGTTTATAAAAAAAATTGAGCTAATGTTATTGGTCATTTTTTGGGTCATAAGTCGAAACCCGTATTTCCTTAACTTTTTTTATTTTTTCCAGGTGTATTTGAAAACTATTGGGAATTTTAAATTGTAACCTCCCAAATGCACCAACTTCATTCACTTTCCCACCAAAAAAGTTAATGAAATTGAAAATCTAAGTATTGTTTCAACTATTTATTGTGAATACAGACAAAAAAAAAACAAAAACAAAATTATAAAACACCCCCAAAAGATAAATATTTAAATATTTGAATAAATTATTTAACATAAATTGAAATATTCAGGGGATCCTCATAAAAGTTATATTGTAGTTATTAATAATAAAACTATTGGTAATGTTCATAATACAACTAATGTCATTGTATCGTCCTATATAATATATTCTATGTCCTATACATATACTTCCATTTGTCCCAATTCAATTAAGAGAATATCAGTGCACTAATTGTTTTTTTTCTCTGAAACACACACAATATAGAGAATCTGCATTCAGCAAAACCAAACAAATCTTGTATTGGAATTGAGCTATTATCAAAGGTTTTCTGGTCTAGTAAGTTGGCTTTATTTTTTCTTTTACAAAAACTTTAATTTTTCTTATTTTTTTTTTTTTTAATTTTAATATAGTACATACTCTATATAACACAGATAATGTTCTTATTAACGTGAATTTGATAATAGATAAATTTTAACCCAATAGTAAAGCAAAAAACACAAGATTGGATCTGCTGAATGCACATTTGCCATGTTGCTCAAATCACCAAAAAGAAAAATAGTGCATTATTGAAAAAAAAAAGAATTAGCATAGTTTCAAATTTATTTACTTCATATAGTGTAATTAGCTCCAAGTATTTCAGTTCATTAATATTAGCAAAAGCCTTCTTGGCAATTATGAGATCAAAATGTTCTAAGGCTTCTCGAGCTAGTATTTTCCAATCAGTATCAGTGACATTAAGACAGGCAATTTGATATGCTTTGCTAAAAAATAAATTAATAACCAATTAATAACATTTTGGTTATTTTTATTCACAAACAATTTTTACTTACCTAAAATATTTTTTTTCTAAATATTGATATAATGGAACTGATAATGCAACTTCAATAACAGATACTATAGAATCGTTTAGAGAAAATATTTTAGAACCCCACATGCCAATTACATGTCCCTATAATATTTATAATAATTTATTAGATTAAATTACATCAATATGGTTTTTAATAATTAAATTAATTTATTACTATGATACGCTGTTGATGAGCTGGAAATTCATTAACTTTGATATTAAATATATGTTTACCCGAAAAACATGCCATGTCAGAAAATTTTGAATTCCAAACCACACTAGTAATATCAGACTCCTAGATCACATAATATGTCATTTTAAGTTTGAAAATTATACTGAAGTAGATTTACTTGAAAAAGAAGCTTTTTTGATTTCATATCAAAAAATGAACACTTGTTTTCATCATCAACAATAGCTGCTTTGTCCATTGATATATTAACATCGAAACAACGGACACTTTTAGTAACATTAAATAATTGCTGCACAACTAAACTATTAACACGTAACATCAAAACCTATAACAATATACAATAAATTTGTTAGTTAAATAAATAAATAAATAAATAAATAAATAAATAAATAAGAACAAAATAAAATACTTGTCCATTATGTAATCCAACCAAAATTTGTTCTCTGCCTGGAGAACCTCCAATAACTTTTAAATATTTCACAACAGAATTCATGGTCCATTCACGTTCATATATACCAGCTAATGATAAACATTGAAGTCTTGTTTCCTAAAATTTTAAATTAGTAACAAATTAATATGTTATTTTCTAAAAATGTGTTTAAGCCTTACTTGACACAAAACTAGATTGTTTGAACAAACTACTAGTAGATTACAAACAGCATTTTCAGACAATTTTTCTTTGATCCTATAGTGCATTTCAGATGTTTGAATTGAAGATGATTCATATATTACTATTTTTGATGGTAATTGAACCTGAAAGAAGTTAATTGACAATGAAGAATCCATACACAAAATGTATAAAATATTTTTTAACTACAATAAACTTTAACTTACAGCCAATCGATCTTTATAAATTGCAATTTTTTTAATTAAATCTCTGCATTTTATTCTCACTTTTTTGTTAGTAACTAAATCTTGAACGACAACATCTGTCATATTTTCTCTAATAAATAATAATGAAAATTATGAATTAATTTTTACAAAATGTTTGCATTTAAAGTTTAAACTAAGTAAAAGCATTGTTAGTCAGTGAAAATCTATAAACAAACAAAATTATCAACAGTGCCATTTATTTGAGCAATAATAGAATAATAGGTGACTTCAATCGCATCAAGATATGATAATGAATTTAAGACTTAGAGTACCATAACCTTGTATATGTAGTGTAACTATGCAGTTACAAAAATCTGTAACTTTAGTACCTGTATGCATATTTTTCTTGATAAAGTCCATGTATTACACTGAACTCGATTTTGTAATACGCTAATGTTCCATCTTGACAACCTAACGCCTATTAATATAGATAGTTATAACTTATATTTAAGTGTCAATACTTTATGTATATCAAATAACATAAAAACTATATTTTAGAAATAGCACAAATTTAAATAATTTGGAAATCCTATAAATTTTAAAATTATAGCAGTAAATATTAATACTAAAATTGTATATGTATACCTTTAAAATTAAATAAAAGAAACCTTTTCTACAATATTATTGTACTAAAATACAATAATATTGTGTCTTAGTCATCAATCAAAATGTGTATGATTATTTTAAATTGAAATCATGTATTCAATAAACAATGATGTACAGAACTATTGAAAAAAAATTTAACTTATGAAGTTGCAAAAAAGGAGTACAGCATAGATAGGTAGAAAATTAAATATTATGAAAATAATTCATTTCATAAAAAAAAATCTGACTTTTCTATAAGTTGGTGACTTAGTAATTAGGGGAGAAGGCCAAAGTTTTGATGATCAATAGCTCACTCTACCATCTGAATGGTACAGTAGATTACAAATAATAACTTTGAAAAATTGATGTAACAAAAATTAGGGTTAAAGGTATTTTAATTACATCTTAAAGATGTTTTCCAGTTCCTTGTTTATGCTACTAATTTTAAATACAAATTATATGCAATTAAATTAAAATAAATTGTTTAATCGAAGAAACTTACAACAAATTTTGAATGTGGATGCACAGAAGAGGCCCAAATCCAACTGTGCTTGTCTTCAAATTCACTCAACTTTATTCCATCAATAGAAAATATGGAGCATTTTCCTTTACAACCACCAATTAATAAATAGGAATCATTATTTAGGGTTTTAATTGTTAAAGCTTCCAAATGTATGTTTTTATTCTTTAAAGTCTACAAAAATATTTTGGATTATTATTTTTAGTTATGTCATCAAGATATAGATATATATTATTGTTAAATTAATTACTTCAGAACCATTTTTATTATAAAATGATAATTTTTGTCCCCAATCAGTAATGCATAATATTTCATCTTCGTTATATCTACAAGTTACAGTGTGCATATAAATATGATAAATACAAATATAATGTAAGATTATTTATTTCAATAAGTACTTAGACGATAACCACGTAATTGCCCAAACAGATTGTCCATCAGATAGCTCAATATTTGCAACTTCCTCCCCGCTTCGATTGCGTAAGGAAATACATCCATTATCACAACCAAGAGCTAATGATTGACCATCTGTTGACCAGGCACATGTATTTATTTTACACGAGATTTTATATTTTTGAACAGATTTTTGTTCTAAGGAGTATAAACCAAATTCCATAGAACCGCAACTTGCTAAGTGATGAGTTATTGAATTAAAATCCATGCACTGGACTGTGTCATTGTGGCTGAAATAATTATAAAACTCAGTAAACAATTTTAAAAACAAATTACAATGATTACTTGTATTTTCCAACTGGTTCAAATTTGGATGACCAAAGAATAACTGATTTATCTGCCGAGCCAGAAGCAAATAATTTACCATTTTTAGCATTTGTCAAACAAATAACATTTTCTTTATGTCCTGAGAGTATAAATATATACATTTACAGTAAGTAATACACTAATATGTAATAGATGTATGGTCAAGCTTGGATTAAGATCTTCAGGGGCCCAGAAGCCAAAATTAGGTCGTGCCCCCCCCCCCAACATGAAAATAAATCTTTAAAATAATAAAAATGTATTATAAAACTTACAAACATTATTTTTTTATTACAATACATATATCTACAATCAAAATTAGTATTTTATATAAGTCTTTTTTTTAGCTTTTTGTGTAGCAAATGTTTCTAATGTTTTATTAAAGCTTAAATTTTGTAGAATATCATTTTTTGTAGACAATATCATTAATGATGACAGATTTTCTTGTGTTTGTTGGGTCAATCTATTTTTATTTTTAATTCTGGCCAACTTCAAAAAAGCTATCCTTGCAGTACAATAGCAACATGAATGGTAAGATATATTCTTATAGCAATATGAATATTAGGGAAAATATTAATAATATTATATTCGGTCATCCATTCAAATATCTTGAGTACATCACTTCCATCAAATGTTGGTTTTAACTGATCCCAAAACTGCTTGAAATGTACAACTTCACATTTAATGGAATCATTAATGTCATTTTTAAATACACTAATAAATTTATTAACACTTTCCTCAACATAATTAGTAGAATGAACATGTAGTCTAGTTAAAATAAAAAGTCTTTAACTACTACACTATATGCATTTATTCTTTTGTCCAGTTATGAACAAAATGTATAAATTATTACGTGATGTGTTTCAACCCAAAATTTCTCATTGCCACTAAGTATAGGGTATATGGCCCTATGCCCCCACTTACCATGCCCGTAGTGGTAAACACCGTTACCGTAAACATGGTACGCAGGAGACAAGACACAACGTCTGTTAGTTCTACAAAAAAATTCTTGTAGGCACTATAAAGAGCACAAGTTACCAATCAATGTAATTTTAAACCTAGAAGACTATGGGCCCTTTACAAACCTGGGCCCCGGGGACGTGTCCTCCCCCTTAATCCGAGCTTGTGTACGATATAAGTCAGTCAAAAGTTTTAAAGCTTGCAAATTTAAATATTAATTATTGAAATTAAAAAAAAAGAATAAAGTGTAAAATAAATGTACATGGCTTATAATACAACATATTTTATTATGATACAAAATATACTATGTCAATAGTCAATAGATGTAATTTTACCTTTTAAAGTTTGTAAAAGATGTCCATCGATAGATCTGTAGATAAGAATATCATGACCGGCTGTTGCTAGTAATTGAGAACCATCAATACTGAAGCAAATACTGTAAATACTATATGTGTATAAAAAAAAATCATTAGCAGTATTTTATTTGGAACCATTTTAATAAAACAGACATTTTTTAATTTTTAAAACCATTAAAATATTACCATTGTTGAATTTTATCTTTATCTTGTACTTTATGAAGCCAAATAGGAATACAATGCATCTCTAACTACCTACAAACATTAAGACCGTTAAAAACTAATATAAATATCAAATCTAAGTGTAAAATAAGAAGTGATTTAATCCTATACTTACAAAATATTATTTATACTACTATTTGGAAAAATTGAACCCAAATACATCATACATAATAAATCATAAACTAATGTTTAGTAAGTTAATTTACACTAAGTTTCCTTGAGTATAAAATTTGAAAACCTATTAGCTTTAAGAAAGTAGGAAATAGGAATACTGCAATACTACATTATGATCATAGACATTAGACAAGAATACGATTTGTGAGATTGATTAATAATAAATAATAATTATTATTAATTTAAAATGTTGAACAATTTTCATTTATCCACAACCATAAAAAATAAACCAGGTATCATAGATAAAGATAATAAAATATATTGTGATATCGTGTTTGATAAGTCCGTGATTTAAATATATTATGATAACGATTTGTTTATCTAGAATTTCTGAATCTTTGAATTTTAAAGTGTAAACAATACAACGTGGTTACAAAATATATTTGTTTTTACTGTTTAATATAATTTAAATGTAGAATTTTTATTACTTGAGTTCATAGCATAGATTAATATTAATTATAGTCGCCAGTCAATAATTATATAAAAAAGTGAGTTATTGGTCAAGTATTATTAAGCATATAATTTGGAACTTATACTTGTTACACCTAGATTTACATCTAATGTTTTTGAAACTTTTACTACGATTTCAGGTGAATATATATTAGTTATCATGGGCAAAAATAAAAAAAAAGGAGCTGCACGCATTGAAAAGGCAACTGCTAAGAAAGAAAAAAAGATAGCACAAAGGATCAAAAAGGATATTGGGAAAATTGGAGAAGTAGGTTTATTTGCTAAATAATATTATGTTTAAGGTAAGGGCAGATCTAATACAAGAAAATCAGTTAAGTGACTTACCTTAGTTTCTAAAATATGAAATTGTCATCAAGTTATTATGTATAACTCTTACATTTTTAATCTACCAGTCTACCACTTAGTTTTGGTTGTTAAAATAATAAATATATAGTAACTAAAATTAGCTTATTTATTCTTAATAAAATTACAATTTTTTCAGGGGTGGACTGGGCCAGGGTGTTATGAACCAAGGAATGCCGAGCCCCCATTCTTATTTATGATACAAACTCCTATTACCACTATCGGTCCCTTTCTTAAATTTAACTCTTATTGTAATGTTTAACTCTTTTCTGACTTAAGTAAGTTTAATAATAATATATGGGCCCCTAACTAATTTTGCATCCTGGACCAAAAATATCTAGTTTGCCCCTGAATATGTTCACCCATGACAAAATAAATGGAGGTACTGTTTGTATTATTCTGTCATTGGTCCCCTTTAATGCACGGTTAATTTTATACTACATTTTATTTATTTAAATTGTTTTTAGCCTGAGGTATCTACTATTGTGGCTCATATTGAGGCTAAAAACAAAGCAAAAATTAAAGTGACTGAAACAAAAATTGATAATCCATCAAGGAGATCAAATTTTACATTTGTTCCTCATCCAGATAAAGATGAAATTATTCTATTTGGTGGAGAATTCCATAATGGTAAAAATGTAAGTAAGACAAATTTCTAATTCAAGTTCTACTTTATATTAACTTTTTTTCTGTAATAGCTTATCATTTAAATTGTTCTATTTCCTTAAGAGGATGCTACTTACGTGTTTGTTGTCTCTGTCTTACCGAAGTACGACATAGTAAGTGTTTGTTTATTTGTTTGAATAGTGTGCCGTTCATTTTGATATTAGAGTGAACTTAAGTATTATCAAACTTTAGGTAAGAACATTATCTATGCTCAAGCGTTGGCAAATTGTTGATATTTTTATTTACAAGCGAGATACAAGCATTTTTTATTTGTGTGGTTTCACATACTCGTATCTTACTTGAAAATATAAATATCAAAAACTCGCCGATAGTTAAGTATAGACAATATTCTTACCTAAAAGTTTGATATCATACTTAAATTTACTCTAATATCAAAACTCACGGCACACTATTCAAACTAGTGAACAAACATTTGATATGTCGTACGTTGGTAAAACGGAGACAGCAAACTCATAGGTAGCATCCTCTTAAAATTATTTTATTTAGAGTTGATGACTATATTACTACTAATTACTATATAATATGTTAAAATAAAAAATATTGCTTATTATTGTCATATACCTCGTCATTGAGTGTGAATAGACTAGAATAGATATGTTAAATTTGAATTTGATGATAAATCATTTCTCATAAAAATTAATTCTTAAACAATTCTAAACATTATACATAGTTGTTGTAATTCAAGCCTTCTCTCCAATGGGTAGAATAGGCAATTTGATTACAAACGCGCAGTAAAGATATTATTATCAAATTTGACTGTCACGTCTATTATATTCTATAGTATCAACTACTCAACTATTATAAACATAATATATTACATTATATTTATATTATATTAATATTATCAGTATTTAGCACGGTTAAAGATGTACTTCGATATATTAAAGGGAGGTATATCTTAAATTGTGGTATTTAGACATCTGTAAGTTAAATAATAGATGTCACGATAGAAATAATCATCGTCATTTCTAGGAAAATTTAAAAAGTAAATATCTACCTACACTAAAAATAAAACCCATATTTCTTATTATTGAGAACCGTCCAAAATGACTCTAAAAACACGTCCATACTCCATATCGATATCGCATTACCATTTTATAACCCTGTCAAAATTATGAACTGAGATATTGTTCATGTGCCTCCGCGTCTGGCTGCAGGGTATGCGAAAGCATACCCTGCATACCCCGTGCACACGCCTATGGTCAGTACTGCATAAAAATATAGAAATAAAGAATATTGAATATAGAGTTAATTTAGGAGGTAAATGTTCTGAGCATTCGGCGAAAGGGATGGTTATGGCCGTAAGATGTGGTGTGACTGGGGATAACGAAAGATAGGGTAAGGCAGAATTTTAAAACAAGCTTTTTTAAGAAGGCCTTGGGCATCTAAGGACCCATTTAAGAGAGACAACATGAATTTTTAGTCAGCTTCAATGCAAAGAGAGGAAAGAGTTTGGACATGGAGAACTTCACGTATGTAGGAGTATTTCTGTTGTACCTACGTTTGGAATTTTAAAAATGAAAGCAGTATAATATGCTAACAATTAATCTGTACACGTTCGAGGCAAAGTTGGTCTTTCACAATAAAAGGGTGCCAAACAACCTATTCATTTTTAACTACAAAATAATATGCAAATTTTTGTAATCTTGATAAATATTGTTAACATTTAAAGTTAAAACACTCAAAAAAAATGATATTGTTTTCTAGAGGTTTTTGAAGTGTTGTGTGTAAAACTTATGATACTCATCAATATTCATAGAAAAAAAACTAAAAACATAACTCATAAGATGAGCTTCAAATGTTTATAATATATTGTTACGGCAAATTTAAGTTAATATTGCATCATTTTTACTACTCAAAAATATGAGTACAGAAACAAAAAAAAAGACATTATTTATTATAATACTAGAAATTCTAAAAATATAGTTAATTTTCCTTTTTTTCTGAGTAAAACTTGTGATTTTAACATATGCTTTTGCAGACCATAATGTTCAATGATTTAATATTTTATAATATAAGTCATAATACATGGACGTTAGTGGATGCTCCTGGTGCACCGCCTTCTAGATCATCTCACTCTGCAGTAAGTGTTGCTGTAGATAATGGACAGTTATGGATTTTTGGTGGAGAATTCGCCAGTCCTTCAGAGTATCAATTTTATCACTATAATGATTTATGGGTTTTTGGATTAAAGAATCGAAATTGGACAAAAGTTATGTAAGTTACTACAAATAATAATATATTTAGGTTCAATTGCAGTTTTAGTAAAATCTAGGTTATTACAACTCTTGGAATTTAAATTGTTCATACTTTAGAAGAACAATTGTACTATAAAAATTGGTGTAATGAATTTAATTTAAAAATCATATCCATTTGATATTCAATAATTTATAATTTCCTATTCATATATAAAATGGATTACATAGATTCTAGACCCTCTTTGTTATTCAAATTAATTTAATAAAAGTTATATTTTGAATACAATTAATTTTGTTGATCTGAAACATCCGACAATGAAAAATCCCTATTAGGTTTTATTCAATTCCATATCTCTACAGCATAATACTTATGGTTGAGAATATGATTATATTCATAATAATATTATTTCTGATTCCATCATCGTGAAGACTTAGTTGAACAAATGTAATTAAAAATATCGAGATATGTGATAACCTTGTATGTTCAGCTATATTCATAATTCAATATTTAGGGCTGAAGGAGGACCTTGCGGTCGTAGCGGTCACAGAATGGTACTTAGCAAACGTCATTTGGTATTATTTGGTGGATTTCAGGATAATACTCATAATTATCAATATTTTAATGATTTATATGCATTCAGTTTGGCTGACTATAAATGGAAAACTATCAAAACTTCTGGTATGATAAATATTTGTGTATTTTTCTACTTAAAAAGCTTATAAAAAATTCTTTTCAGGACAAGCACCTTCGCCAAGATCTGGATGTCAAATGTTTGCTATGGAGGATGGTAGAATTATTGTATATGGTGGTTATTATAAAGAAAAAGTTAAAAAAGATTATGACAAAGGAACAATTTTAATTGATATGTTCATGTTAACACCTGAAAGTAAGTTTATGTTTCAACTAAAATAAATGAACGGTACACAATGTGTATAATGTATATTGATTAGTTATTAATTATATGTTATTGGTACAGTTAAGTTATTTTTGCTGGTGTTTATATTGTGTACAAATACTGAAATAGTGAAAATGAATCATAAGTAAAGTTGGGAGCTCCAAAATGTTATTACCCATACGGAGACAAATCTCAAATATAGCCCTGGTTCTAGTTGTGTCTATTTAGTAAAGCGATATTATTGAATATTTTCACTTTTGTAAATACTCAATCAGAAGATGTCAGCTCACAATTTGATTTCTCATTTTGACCCACAAGCAACAGCAAATTTACGTTCAGTAGAACTACCTTGTTTTGTTTGCATTAGTATGTCGATTTTTTATGATATTTTAATTTATGTGAGAGTTATGCCTGTGTGAAATTTAAAAATGTTCATCTCTTTAAAATTTAGATATTGTAAGACAGCTAAAAATATAGGTAATTCTGTGAAATTAAAATTTATTAATAAGCCAATTCACTCTTATATTGATCTAACTAATCAAGAAGGCTGGTTTTGTTGAATGCAATTTGCTATGTTGTGCATAACCTTAGGAAAGAGGAAACAAATTGCATGCTGACACCATATTAAGCAGCCATCGCTGTATTATTTTATTGTACAGAAAAAATTCTAATATAAATTGTCTAATTTCTTCAATTAACTTCATTACATTTTTAGAAGGTGATACAGATTTTTCAAATTATCGCTGGTCAAAAGTGAAACAAGCCGGTTCATTACCGACCGCTCGTTGTAGTTTATCTGGTTCATCAATTGCTGGACACAATAAGGCATATGTATTTGGAGGTGTTTATGATGAAGAACAGGGAGAAGACGATTTAACTAGTACATTTTATAATGATTTGTATATGTTAGATATGGAACAAAATACACCCACTTGGAGATTAAGTATATAATAATTTTAATAAAATAATATAATATAATTGCTTTTACTAAAGGTTATTTTTAGTTTCAGTTAAAGAACAATCGAACAAATTAGCTTCTGAAGAAGAAGCTCTAAATTCGGTTAATTCAGACCCACCGACTCCGCGGTCACATAGTGGATTAGCATTTAAACATAATACCTTGTTTGTCTATGGTGGAATTGTTGAAAAAGGCTCAAAATCACTAACACTCAGTGACTTTTATTCATTAGGTAAGAACCATGTTATATAATTGTAGTAAATTTAAAATATCTGATTACCTAAATTGCATTTTAATATGAATTTCAGACATTAAAAAGTTAAAAAAATGGAATGTGATTTGCGATGACGATATTTTAAAAACTGTGACTTCAGACTCTAGCTCTGATGATAGTATGTCAACCGATGACTCAAGTTCAGAATCTGATGCATCTGATGCATCATCATCAGACGGACAAATGGATACTGATTGATTCAAAATGTTACCACTGTGGAAATAACTTTAAAAAATATAAATTGTTTGAAATCATAAAACAGCTATATTTTACTTAATATGTATATTTAGACCTAATACTTTTAGGTTATAAATGTGCTTCATTTGCAATTGATTATTTGGGTTTTCAATCTTTATCTTTATATTTATAAAACACTTGGGTATTGATTTTGTGTTTTAGCAATGATAATTGTTTTTTCTAATGTCATGTCTTGTCACTGACTCCAAATATTATAATGCTCCTGCATCAAGCAAAATGAAAAAAAAACCCGTTTTATTATTATTAATTATTATAATATGAAATATAAATTTTCACATGATATCAGTGGGTCTATAGAACAGTTTTGTTTAAACTTTAAATATCATGTTTCCTGTTTAGTTTTTATTATATATCACATTTTGATTTTAATACACATTTTGTACCAATACTTTTGTTTTAAATAAATTAATATATAAATAGTGTTTAAAAATAAACTTAACAATAACACAATGTATCTTACAATAGTAAAATATTTTAAAATTTAAACTGTAAAAAATAGTTTTAAAAATAAATCATCATATTAATAACAGTACATAGGTAACAACACACATCAATAGAATCATTTGCAGCTAGATAAATTGGAATAAAATATAAATATATTTTTTAACATTCGATAATACTAAATTTTTACTTTTGTTAATAATAATTGAAAGTGTATTATTTTAGAATTTGTGTCATTTGTAGTAGTTACTATAATATGTTAGTTTTTTCAAAATGTATTGTACAAATATTGTATTTTTATATGGTTACTAGTGGTATTAAAATTAGCCTTATATAATACATGTAAATAACCTGCCAAAAACAAGCACGTTGATTAAATACATTTAAATCAGAATAACTAATATAAAAAATAGTTAGGTAGTGTGTTATTTATAAGTGTTCGGGTATTTCAACCAATGATGTTTCCAATTGTAAATCACTAGTGTTTAAGGATAAAGAGCTGATTGTTAATGTTGAAGGAGGAACTGAATTACTTGACCTCCAATGTGTAAATGGAAAAAAAGATCCAATGTTAGATGGTGTACAAACTTCTCGAGTATCCTTAGAATCATTATCATTCATATTGATAAGTGTTCTGACTGCAAAATCTTCCTAAGATGAAAAAATTTAATTTAATTATTTTAAATTATTTTAAAAATAAATATGAACAAAATTGAACACTTACTAATGGTTTGCCTCCATTTGATATTTCTAGAGTAGGCAAAAATCTATAGTAACACTGTGTCCAAATACTAAGACAAGAAATCTCTGTAGATACTTTTAGTAGATCATCTTTAACTTTAGAGGCATTGAAAAGAGGATTATGAAATTGAATTAAATCATGATCCATGAATTGTTCCTCCCAATCCCATATTGACCGTAACATTAGTGGACTAACATCCTGGATAAAATTATTCTTAAGTTGGAAGTATCTTTAATTGGATAAAATATTCAAACCTTAGTAGCACAATGACGATCCCGTTCACAATCAAATAAAAATGTATCAAATATAGAAACATGTGATGCATCCCAAAGAGTGGTTAAGTAGGTCTCGGTAAATTCAAATTTTTCTGGGAATTGTTGAAGTAGTTGCCATACACAATCCAAAAATAACAATAACAATGGTGACTGCAAAATATAATTAAGCAAGTTTAAAAATTATTACATTAATATGTATACATAAAATTATAAACATTAATATATACGGCCACAATGTTAGCTTATGAGTTTTTTACTTGTGTCCACGTATTGGACTACAATTAACAAATAACAATCAATATTTGAAAATACAACATTCCGATCATTATATAGTATGACTATTGACTATGGTCTATGCCTCTCATTTTTTGGGTTAAAATGTTAACACTTAATACATACACAGGAGGTAGATGTTCAATCCTCAGAGGCTACTTGTTACGTTTTTACGATATGTATGAATGTATACAAATTAATACAGTTTAAAAAATAGTTTAATATATATACATTATACAATTACATATAATTTTTTATAGAACCCCTTCCATTTAAAATATTTGTGTACGCCATTGAATCTAACAATACAGTAATTGATAATAAATAAATGAATACAACAGAGATGTTCAGAACCCAAAAGTTCCTTGACTTTATAATTTCAAATACCTACCTTATTTTAAGTGTAATTTTTTTCTATGCATTTATTACCAGTTTACATTTAAGATTCTGAGTGGATTGGCAAATGTTTTGATTTTACAATAATGTATTGTTTTATGTCTGTCATGTTTGTGTACACAATTTATAAAAAATAAGGTTACTTATAAGTTGTTATTGGTAAAATTAAAAAAAAAAAAGTTGAGTGTAAATTCACAACAGTTTTTAATGAGTGTTTGAAGTTTAAATTTTCTTTTTAAATCTAAGCTTTTAAAATGTAATAAATATAAAATTCCTCAAATTGTTCTACAATGGATAAAAAAAAACTAATTCAAATTAATTTTTCATGAGCATTTCAAGTATTATCTAGATATTAACCTGTAAACAAACGATTTCTCATAAAACAATTTTCTTAATAGTAGAAACTTGAAATTTTCATCAAATATTAATAATAGCTATTTCTTGGTATATTTTCACTTTTTTTCACCTTTTTCAAGGTTGTTATGCTCAACAAAAATCAAGGTATTTGCCCCAGTGAATGGAGCAAGTGATGGACTCCACCTTTTATCTGTGCGAATATAATAAGTCCAAAATTTTCATGAAAATACGATATTACCATACTTTTTCTGCATTAAACAAAAACTAATAATTTACAAAAAAAAGGCTTTGCTCTAAAATTTTTTAAAACGTTGAAATACATGTTTCCGAAAAAAAATCCGAAATTTCGAGGGGGTATAAAATTAGATTATAAATATAGCATAAATCTTGTTTTAGCAACCCCATGAAATTTCAGATTGTATTTCACAGTTTTAAAGAAGATGGTGCGAAAAGTTTTTATCGGTGATGATAAGTTTTTGAGAAATGTAGGAAAAAGTGGCAAATATATTTTCAAAAAATCAAAATGTTGGTTTGTTTTATGAAAACTACACAAAAAATTTGATTTTTTTTTCAGAAACCTACGTATTTCAACTTTATGCATAACAACTCTTCTAGAAGGTAGATGGCTCTAGCAGTCTGGTTATATATACGTTTTATTCACGGCTAAAGATAATATTATCTAGATCATGGATAGTAGCCTATACTCTATTGAAGTTCAGAAACTTAGAAACGTACTCAGCGGCCAAATGCACAAGTCGGGCCGCGCACATAGGGGACGTCGCTATATGAGGATATTACACGCTATTACGGGCTACAACCACGATTAAAGATATACTTATACCTTAGGTATATAATATATACTTATATCTTTAATCGTGACTACAACAGGCATACAGATAACTAACAGTCAACAGAGTGGGCAGCACGAACAGGCGTCGCCTGTCTGCGCCCGACGTAAAGAGGACACCACCCGGCCACCGACTACGTTCCTTAACTTGATCAGAGTGACAGAATAGATAGTAAGTTAGTAATCGTGCGTTTACTACATAGTAAGTTGGTATCGTAGGTAAATGGTAATATCAGTTATAATATGAGTCAGCTTGAATCTTAATATCTTATCAATAAATAGAAAATAATAACAACAATGCAGTAATTAAATAATTAATGTTTGGTAAATTGAACATTGCTTTAATCAAATGGATAAGTGCTTAAAATCGCATGAAAAATATTTCGTAAAAGTAATTTATTATTTTTAATTTTTAAACTATTTATTAATTCCAAATTATTTTGTTGAAGAGTTCTCAGTAAAAATTATTTTGTAAGTATAATGAAAATCGAATTTTAAGATTTTAAAAGTCTAAAACATATTCAAATATTTTACATGACACAAAGCCACCTACTATTTAATGACGTATATAATATTTTGTAAGTACAATATTACTACACAATCTTGTAAATAATTTATGTTTGAATATTTAGAAAATGAATGGAGACGAAGGAGGCATTAAATTTGTAAATTGCATTGGTTCAGACATAAATATATGGAGAAAACTACCATATGATGAAAATTATGAATGTGAAACTTGTTTACTGTATGATGAACCTGAATATCATCTTGATGATCCTGAATGTGTTAATACTACTTGGAAATTTTTTGACCATATAACAAAAAGATATCTATTAGGAAACGGAAAAGAAATTTTTCATTACCAAAAATATGAATGCCCTCCACTAATAGTTAAAATTAGCACTCCGTTATATACATTACAAGAACTTTGCAAATACACAATTTCGACAAGGCTTTTGGTGAACAATATTAGTAATACAGCAATTGATGAAATGGAATTACCCGAACAGTTTAAAATTGATATAAAAAGTTGTGTACAGAAATTAAGAGAACAATATGATGCAGATGGAGATGATTGTATTCAAGATTGGACAGTATACCACGAAGAAGAATATCATTATTAAAATGTTTTAAATAAAAGTTTTTATATAATATTCTTCATTATACACATTTTAATCATTATTTTTAAATATTACATTATTTATTTATTTTTCTTGAAAAATATCATCATGATTTCAAAATAAAAACATTTAATCCTCAAGTTACTTTGTTTTAATACTGATTTTGTGTTTCCCCTGGAGCCAACATTATTCATCAAACATAGACATTTAGTGAATTATGCATCAAATTAAAAATTGTATTGGTCACAGCAATTCAAAACAATGTATATTTTATAATATACTATATAGCAGAAGTTCCCAAACTGTGGGTTAGGTTTATTTGCGTTATATTTTTAAGTAATACATATTTAGACATGTGTTTCTATTACTTATTGTTGATGTTTAAATTTAGTTTTATCATAAATTGTTTTCTGCTTACATCACAATTACGAATTTACTGCAACCGTGTGAATACAAGGCAATAAGATTAGTAGTTATTGAAAAGATAGCAATTTATTGCTATAATAAATTCCTTGATAAAAATTTAAAAATAAAATATACTGCTCTTCAATTCAAAATGTTTCTTTTTTTTAATTTTAATATTATATTTGTAGCAGCAGAAAAAAAGAAAAGGTTATTATTGTGGGACTCGAAAAATTTAAATAATTTCCAAAATGGGTTGTACTACAACAAGTTTGGGGAACCTCCTTTATATAGCACTACTTTCCTTATTTGGGAGACATTTTAAGCTCGATGATTTCAGGACACGGACAATTGATACAGAGTGTAGTGTTTACTTATTCTATAGTATGTTAAATTATCATAGTCGGGAGTTAATTATCGTCAATATATTAGATTTAATAGTTATAACATCATAAGATATGAGTACTGAAAGTAATATTAGATATCTGTGGCATACCAATGCAATGTAGAGTTAAAAAAATTAAGAAGGACTCAAGACTATATACTATTTATACAACTTAACAATTTAATACAAATTCTAAATTGATTTATTTGTTTTCATTATTTTATTTTTATTATATATTTATATTTTTATTATATATTTATATTATTATTACATCTTCCACATTTATACATTCAAAATATTTTATAAATAAAAAGATGTCTCATGTCCTATATTCACATATACTGGGTGATTCATTTGAAGTAGACACTCATTATTCAAAAAGTATTAATTATTTTTGAAATACTTTTTATTTGGTTTCTAGTCATTACAAAACAGCGTTATGATAATGTCCAAAAACTTACACCAATACTCATTATTCAATGACTCAATTGAGTTGTCTTATATACTATTGTCTAGTCATTATACAATTGTATAAATGTTTAATGAGAGAAATTACATTTCTTGAGCAAGTCTTTTTAAATTTGCTTAAACACGACAAACATAACACGATGGCAATTTAATATAAACTGAATAATTGTTAAGTGTTACAAGCAATACTCAGTAGGTACAATGTACAGTGTTCTGTTATTGTGACAATTATTAATGTTAACAGCGATAAACGATGAATGCTTTTGTAAACTCCAAATACACCATAAAAAAAATCAAATATCTATATTCTTTAATGTGTGAAAAACTAGCATTAAGGAAAAATATCTTTGGCAGTCCAGTTATTCCCCCTCTAACTTAACTTGGATCAGGCCAACAGGTTGCCTATTACTGACCCTAGTTCTAGAAAGTTCTAATAGAAATTGGAAATATTTGGTAACATTTAAATTATAGTTTTCCTCAGAATCTAAAATGAGTTTTGAACCTATATAATATAAATAGTATATATAATAATTGTAGTAATGTCTAAAATTGAGTACTTTCAAATAGCTGTTCAACTGACTAATAGTGGTTATTGTTGTGTGGCATAACTCAGCTTTATATAGTGTTATTAAAATTATTTACGCTAAAAATATATATATACTTTACTTTAACAGAATCGGTACTATTAACATGACCAAGTCTTGTACAAAATTGATGACCCATAACGACCCATTCCTTTTGGATTAATGTTTGCAATCCCACAATAGATCGAAAATGAGAATCTATCATCAACTGTGCTAGACTAGAAATTAAACAGCATAAATCACGTCCGTCTCGTTCTATAACATACAAATAAAAATTCATAAGTAGTATTCATTGTTCATAAAAATTTAATATTTGTATCAGTTTTACACAAATATTGTAAACGTATACTGGGTATTTATTTCATCACTGAACACTCATTATTTCAATAAGTATGATTTAAAAAAAAAAAAAAATGGTTTCTAGTCATTAAAAAAAAACATTTTTAAATTTTATTTTTACTTCTCTGAAATACAACATACAGTTTTCATTTCATATTCAGAAGCAGAATTTAGGATGAATCTTTAATATTTTTTCACTGGTATTATAACGATTTTTGAGGAACTTTGTACTAAATGTCCAAGTGTTTCGACTCATACAATTTTTTTTTTTTTGTTGGTTTGGGGCCTGGTGGATAATTAATGATAAAATAAACATTTAGTGATAGTATTTCAAGTATCTACAGTTATTCGTTTTTGAACAACACCATAAAAACAAAATCATTTTTGCTTCTCTTTCTACTGCTTTTAACTACTGGGAATTTATTCTTTTAACACCCTAAAGTAAATAGATTCACTTTCCAACCAGAAAAGTTGCAGAAGTAGAAAGTGAAGTAAAAAATTGATACATTTCTATCGTCCCAAAAGATGAATAAATGCACAAAAAAAAAACACAACATTGTACAATCAAAAGTGATGAACTAATGTAATAATTCATTCATCACTCCGCTCAGAATCTAAAATGTTATCATTACATTTTTAGTTCTTTTTATCTTTACCTAACCTAACCTTAGTATGTACATTGCCAATACCTACCCTTCTTTCTCTCTCTAAAATTGACCCTAGTTCCCACAAAGCATTTTATGATTGAACATTTATACCTAAAGGGTTTGTCCTATACTGTGAAATAAACAAATAAATAAATACCTTGTAATACAACTGACTCATTTCTATTAAGTTTATTAGCAGCTATTAAAGCAGAGCTAAGACAACTTGAAACATATTGTAACCATTTACTGGCTTCCAAAAGCGAGTAAAAATGATTATCTTGTACCCAAAACTGCCGTGCACTTTCTAACAAAATAAATCCATTTTTAATAATAATAATAATGAATACAAATAATTAGGTATGAACTATTTTAACAAACCAGGGGCACAGATTTCTCGTAATTTTATAAAACTTTGATTAACATCTTTTGGCGATGGCAAATTTTTGGTTAAATCCATAATAAATGGTCTTAGAAGGCCAGGATGTGATTTCCTTACTATTTCTAACATAGCATTTTCTTGAGTTAGATTTGATGGATCTACAACATCTGCTTTTCTAGATAATGTGGCTCCATTTACAGTGCTCCAACACCAAGTTGGTAGTCGTCCTTCTCGAAAATGTTGCATTGCTATTCGTAAATGATTGTCAATAACTGCAGATCCAATAACAATAAACTGTGGCAAGCTATAAAAATATTATGGTATCTTAGAAATAATTACAGTTTTATGAAGTTTTAATCTACCTCGGAGATAAACGGAATTTATTATTAGATGAATTTAAGGTCCAACCAAAACATTTGGTACGTTGAAGTTCTTTTTCCCAATCATCTCGACATCTAAAAGTTGGTGTTGAATATTTACTTTGTACATTTGGCTCTCTACATAAAAAAAAATATAAATTTTAAGACCTATGGGGATTTTTTTTATTTCTTTGGTATACTTATACCAGATTACATAACAATATATTAATTGAATGGTTCACTAAAATAATATGGACCAATTATAGACCACTAAATGATGTTTAAGAGACCAATAGATCTCTATTGATTCATTAAAATATGATTAGCGATTGTTCATGCGATGCTGCATTAGGCTATTTTGAATAATACAGACAATCTTATGCTAGGTTTATACTCTACACACAGTAAACAAAACATCAATGTTTCTTTCACACACATGAATAATTCCTAAACCTAACAAATAGTTTGAAAAAAAAGAAATACTATTTATTTTGTCTCTGCGTGGACCCAGCTTTATGAATGAAGGTATTTAATTATTTAGATAGTTATTACTAACTACTAACTAGGTACTTATAACACAATTGAAATGGTTATCAATTATTATTAAAACAAACTGGGGACTTACATTTAAGCAAGTATAACAAATAATGATTGAATTATGAAAATAGCAAAACTATATTATATATGAAAAATGTCGAAGTTAACTGTTAACCTATACTATGTGTCCAGAAGAGAAGTGAGCAATGTATCATGTGATAGGTTACCAATTCTAACTTAACCTAGCCTTTATTTAAGGGCAATTTAACATTTTTTTAAACAAAACTGCCGAACCTATCCCACACATTTGCTGAAGCATCTTCAAAACTTTTCAACATTTTACCATAATTTTTTTTAGATGTTAAAGATATTTTAGTGATTCTATTAACGAACATACACTATTAAACTAGAAAAGTAAAAATTATTTTTGTTTAATTAAGAAAAGTAGAAAAAAAGGTAGGACTTTCATTTTTTCATAACTTAAGGTAGGTTAGTACACTAATACTATCATATGATGCTGCCCAATCACTTCCCCTGGGACACATAAGTAAATTTTTTTTCATACATGAAGTCATAATTCATTCAATATGATAAAAATAAACAATTTAATTAAAAATTAAACACTTCCAGTAAACAGCAGTTAGTAATAATTAATCATCTCTTAGAACACAATGAACCGGTTTAGCACATTTTAAAAAGTAGGTATATTGGTTACTTGAAGTTATAGCCAATAGGCACATTATTGGAAAATTGCATGAATTGAATACAGCACACAGATTCAATAAAAAAACTATATTTTACAAACATAGTATATTAATGTTAATAAAACAAGCAAACGTATCAACAAGGATAATATTGTCATTTTTATCGAAGTAGGTGAAGTTTAATATTTAAACAATTACTGTTATGTAAATGGTGATTTTCTGAGAAAAAAAATGTTTAAACCGTAAAAACATGTCAGTTATGCGTTCCTAATAACTGTTGTGATCTTATAAGTTGTGTACTAACTGTATAAAGACTGACAATGATTTTTGATTAAATATCAGTTTTAGACTTTTAAATTGTTGATATTATTTTTTTTTTTAATTCATTTTTTTTGAAATAACGCCAGTCCGCTTTTACAAATATTACATAATACGTATACAGGATATTATTTAGTTACAGTATTATTTACATAGAATTAAATTAGCTTTAGTTATTTTATAATACCAATATTATAGATTTTACAATATGTTATAATATAAATAATAGAAAGTCAAATTTTCATAATTTGTAAGATTTATAAATATTAATTCATTTATATTAATATGTCCAATATTGTTTAAGTATAAGTAATTGGCTCAAAACTTTAGTCAATAATCAAAAAATAAAGGATGGAAAGTTAGGTTGGATTTGAGTTTAGCCAATAAAAC